GCCGGTGAACCCCCGTGGTTAACCAAGCTGCCCGCGTTATGGCACGTAGCTGGAGACCAGGCCCGGGGGGGGGGTCTCAGGGGGGGGGGAAGGGGACGGCCTGGGTGTGGCCGGTCCTTTCTTCCTCCCTTCCTTTAGATTGTAGTACCAGGCACACGTTGAAAATCAGACCTAGTGTTTTGAGAAAAAACCTAAGTGTTTAGGCTGTAGGACCAGGCACACGTTGAAAATCAGACTAAGTGTTTTGAGAAAAAAAACCTAAGTGTCTAGGCTGTAGGACCAGGCACACGTTGAAAATCAGACTAAGTGTTTTGAGAAAAAACCTAAGTGTTTAGGCTGTAGGACCAGGCACACGTTGAAAATCAGACTAAGTGTTTTGAGAAAAAACCTAAGTGTTTAGGCTGTAGGACCAGGCACACGTTGAAAATCAGACTAAGTGTTTTGAGAAAAAACCTAAGTGTTTAGGCTGTAGGACCAGGCACACTTTGAAAATCAGAGTAAGTGTCTAGCTTGTAGTACTAGGCACGTTTTGTTCTGTTTGTAGTCCCAGGCACGCCTGGTTTTTCCAGCAGCGCTTAAGGGTGTGCAGTCCGAGGGGGGGGCTTAATAGTGGGTACCCGGGTCGGACTGGTGCACAGGTCTTCCCCGGCCCCGGCGGTCCCTGGAGGTGCGCCTGCGGGGGTGTGGGGTGCTGTGGTCGGGCAGCAGCCTGCACAGAGCCCCCCTGGAGGTCCTGGGCTTCCCCACACCTAACCTTAACCCCCACGGAGATCCAGGCCGCCCCCACGCCTGCATATAGCCCCCCTGGAGGTCCTGGGCTTCCCCACACCTAACCTTAACCCCCATGGAGATCCAGGCCCTCCCCTCACCTAACCTTAACCCCCATGGAGATCCAGGCCGCCCCCACGCCTGCACATAGCCCCCCTGGAGATCCAGGCCGCCCCCACGCCTGCACAGAGCCCCCCTGGAGGTCCTGGGCTTCCCCACACCTAACCTTAACCCCCATGATGATCCAGGCCTTCCCCACACCTAACCTTAACCCCCATGGAGATCCAGGCCTTCCCCACACCTAGCCCTAACCCCCATGGAGATCCAGGCCGCCCCCCACGCCTGCACAGAGCCCCCCTGGAGGTCCAGGCCTTCCCCACACCTAACCTTAACCCCCATGGAGATCCAGGCCTTCCCCACACCTAACCTTAACCCCCATGGAGATCCAGGCCGCCCCCCACGCCTGCACATAGCCCCCCTGGAGATCCAGGCCTTCCCCACACCTAACCTTAACCCCCATGGAGGTCCAGGCCTTCCCCACACCTAACCTTAACCCCCATGGAGATCCAGGCCGCCCCCACGCCTGCACATAGCCCCCCTGGAGGTCCAGGCCTTCCCCACACCTAACCTTAACCCCCATGGAGATCCAGGCCGCCCCCACGCCTGCACATAGCCCCCCTGGAGGTCCAGGCCTTCCCCACACCTAACCTTAACCCCCATGGAGACCCAGGCCCTCCCCAGACCTAACCCTAACCGGCCTGGAGGTCCTGGTAGCCCCCACACATGAACATAGCCCCCCTGGAGAACCAGGCCTTTCCCACCCCTCAGCCTACAAATCAGCCTAAGTGTTTTGCCAAAAAACCTAAGTGTCTATGATGTAGTACTGGGCTCGCTGTGGCCGAGTGGCAAAGGCGATGGAATGGGGAGTCATTGAGGTCCTCCCACGCAGGTTCGAATCCTGCCCACAGCACTTAGAATTATTTTCACATTTGCTTGGAGCACCAGGCCTGTGTGAACCTCCACAGAATCCCCTCGGTTCTGGGACCCGCATGGCCCTATTTTAAGCCGGATTTAAGGGCTTTTTTCGGGGTTAAAACCTCCGAGGACCCCCCCTGGGTCTCAGGCTTGCCAGTGCTGCATTTATGTCCGGATTTCTAAGCTTTTTTCGGGGATAGAACCTCCACAGAATCCCCTCGGTTCTGGGACCCGCATGGCCCTATTTTAAGCCGGATTTAAGGGCTTTTTTCGGGGTTAAAACCTCCGAGGACCCCCCCTGGGTCTCAGGCTTGCCAGTGCTGCATTTATGTCCGGATTTCTAAGCTTTTTTCGGGGATAGAACCTCCACAGAATCCCCTCGGTTCTGGGACCCGCATGGCCCTATTTTAAGCCGGATTTAAGGGCTTTTTTCGGGGTTAAAACCTCCGAGGACCCCCCCTGGGTCTCAGGCTTGCCGGTGCTGCATTTATGCCCGGATTTCTGAGCTTTTTTTGGGGATAGAACCGCCACAGAATCCCCTCGGTTCTGGGACCCGCATGGCCCTATTTTAAGCCGGATTTAAGGGCTTTTTTTGGGATTAAAACCTCCGAGGACCCCCCCTGGGTCTCAGGCTTGCCAGTGCTGCATTTATGCCCGGATTCCTAACCTTTTTTCGGGGATAGAACCTCCACAGAATCCCCTCGGTTCTGGGACCCGCATGGCCCTATTTTAAGCCGGATTTAAGGGCTTTTTTCGGGGTTAAAACTTCCAGGGACTCCCCTTGGTTCTGGGACCTGTCATTGCTCTTTTTCAAGACAGATTTCATGCGCTCTCTCCCGGGGAGAAATGCGCCCACCCTTATTCTTTGAGAATATGTGTGCACTTGTTTTCAACTCCTGGTGGGTTCCATAACCTGAGATTCCACTCACGTCATGGGGACTGGTTTTACGTGGTGGGGCCCAAACACCGGACCCCACTGGTCCAAGCTTAATAATCAATGGGTAATGCTTTTCTAACGGTCCTTATGCAGTCTCTGTAAAAATATGGAAAGGACCCCTGGAGGTTTACTTTCCTGAAAAAAGTGTGTTATGTGTCGGAACCCTGGTGGTGGGTTGCGGAATATCAAGGAGGGGCACACTGGGGCAATTTCAGTCCAAAAATATGGAAAGGACCCCTGGAGGTTTACTTTCCTGAAAAAAGTGTGTTATGTGTCGGAACCCTGGTGGTGGGTTGCGGAATATCAAGGAGGGGCACACTGGGGCAATTTCAGTCCAGCAGGCTGGAGCCAATCATGGAGCAGCACAACAGAGGAAATCAGGTGTCAGGCTAGAAAAGGTGCAAGTGTGTGGTTCATTAGGCTGCAAGAAATCATGGAGGAGCACACTGAAGCGCACGCTTTACAAACCACTGGTAAGTGCTGACTACAAGTCATGACTTCAAATTGTTATATAGAATTATTACAAATTATTTTTTGTTTGTGCAGCTTAGTCAAGAGTCCCTAATTGATGAAGTCGACTCAGATTCTGACGATTTAACTGTCAAGAAGAAACCTGTAAAAAAGTATGGAAAAAGAAAAATCAAAAACACTTTTCTTCAAGACTCGGAAAGTGACGAACCAAAGGCAAATAAGATTGTTATCATGCAGCTGCAAAAGAAGAAAAATGGGGGGCGAGTTTACAGCAAGAGACACTTCTGCCTCTACTGTTCAATGTCCTGCCACAAAATGTCCCGTCATTTGACTAGAAAACATGGAAATGAAAGTGACGTAGCCAGAGCATTGGCTCTACCTGTGAAATCTAAAGCACGTAAACTTCAGTTTGATTTGATCAAGAATAGTGGAAACCGTGAGCACAATTTTGAGGTTTTAAAGGCCGGCATTGGAACTTTAGTCCCAGCTAAACAGCCAAATTCCCCAGTTAAATCCAGTGAGTTTTTGCACTGTATAGACTGTGGGGCATTGCTTAAGCGAAAGTCGCTGTGGAGGCATGTGGCCAGGTGCCGGCTTTCACAGAAAGATGCCCAGGCTAAACCAGGTAGAAGTAGGGTCCAGTCCCTCTGCTCCCTAGCCCAGCCTGTACCGGAGGGCATCAGCAAAAAGCTGTGGTCTTTAATTTCGGCAATGCATCAGGATGAGGTCACGGGTGTTGTCAAAGCAGAAAAGGGGATTCTGAGACTCGGAGAGCACCTGTACTTAAAACACGGGCATGATAAGACTAAGCATGATTACATTAGGCAGAAAATGAGAGAAGTCGGTAGGTTAATTAACGAAGCAAAAACCGCTGATGTGGGCGCAGACACCCACATCAGGGGATCAGACTCCCTACGGCAGGTAGCCAAAGAATGTGGTGCGGTGCATCCAGAGATGCTATCCTCAACCAAACTTAGAAAGCACATAGCTACTATGTCTACAGTTCTCAATATGAAAGAGAATGAAATGGACATACTAGCCAACTTCCTCGGCCATGACATTCGCATCCATAGACAATATTACAGACTACCAGAGGGGACACTGGAGCTGGCCAAAATCAGCAAAGTGTTGATGGCCATGGAGCAGGGAAGAGTGACGGAATTCGAAGGAAAGAGCCTCGACCAGATACAAATTGAGCCTGAAGGTAATTCTTGATATTATTAAAATATGTATGATTTTTTTCCCCTAAAGGCCACTTGTATTTTTATTTTCTGTGCGACAGGGAGAGCAGTAGAGATCCTCTCACAAACGGACGGGCTAAAAGAAACTTCAAGCGGAGAACCTTCAACCATTCATCCAGATGCACCCCATGGTAGTGGCAGTGCCCCTTCTGGTAAGTGTACCAGGTGGGGGATTACAGCCAGGCTGCTTGGTCCTAACCCTGGGAGTGTATATTGCTAATATATTTTTATTTCTCTCCCTAGAACGTGTAAGAAAGCCATGGTCTGCATCTGAGGTGAAGGCTGTGGAGAAGACCATGACGCCTTTCATACAGACTGGAAAAGTCCCTGGGAAGTCTCACTGCCTGGCCTGCATTAATGCCTCACCAGATGACCTTAGACATCGGACATGGAGTGGCATTAAATTCTATGTCAAAAATAGAATCACTGCAATTCGAAAAAAAAATCTAAAATAAAATTCCTTTAAAAGAGTTGTTTGTTTTCTATTGACTGTTTTGTATTACTTAAAGTAGTCCCAGTAAAAAAAGATTATGTCTATGGGTCCCATTCTGAACGGCCCTGTCAAAGGGACCCACCAGGTAACAAAAACGTGTATGTGTGTGTATTAGATCACCATGGCCTCTGTGATGGAGCAGCTCCTCAGTCCTCGCGCCTCCTCCTCCGTGGAGCCGCCTCGGAACAAAGTGACGGTGGTGGGAGTCGGACAGGTCGGAATGGCCTGTGCTGTCAGCATCCTACTGCGGGTGAGACCAGAGGGAGACCAGAGGGAGACCAGCGGGAGACCAGAGGGAGACCAGAGAGAGACCAGAGAGAGACCAGAGAGAGAGACCAGAGAGAGAGACCAGAGAGAGAGACCAGAGAGAGAGACCAGAGAGAGAGACCAGAGAGAGAGACCAGAGAGAAAGAAACATGCCATGGTATAGTCTTGTTAACATGTTCCCATGAACCTGCCTTGTATGCACTGGTCTGTAGGTCTGGACTGTAGGTCTGGACTGTAGATAGAAGGATTATCCTAAACCCTAGCTCAATGAAGCCCATCAGGGAAGTGCTCATGGACAAAGTTTGCTCCAACACACACATTGAATAAACATAGGTACATACTGTATAGTTATGCTTGGTCTTATATCTTGCTCTCATTCATTAATCAATAAGTCTGTGTGTGTGTGTGTGTGTGTGTGTGTGTCTGTGTGTGCGCGTGCGTGTGTGTGTGTGTGTGTGTGTGTGTCTGTGTGTGTGGGTGTGTGTGTGACTGTGTGTGTGTGTCAGGACCTGTGTGATGAGCTGGCCCTGGTGGACGTGATGGAGGACCGTCTCAAAGGAGAGTTGATGGATCTACAGCACGGAAGTCTGTTTCTCAAGACCTCCAAGATCGTCGCAGACAAGGGTGAGGGACCATTGTGATCTCTCTCTCTCTCTGGTCTCTCTCTGGTCTCTGGTCTCTCTTTCTCTCTTTCTCTCTCTCTGGTCTCCCTCTCTGGTCTCTCGCTCTGGTCTCTCTCTGGTTTCTCTCTCTGGTATTTCTCTCTGGTCTCTCTCTCTGGTATTTCTCTCTGGTCTCCCTATCTGGTCTCTCTCTGGTCTCTCTCTGGTCTCTGGTCTCTCTCTGGTCTCTCTCTCTGGTCTCTCTTTCGCTCTCTCTGGTCTCTGGTCTCTCTAGTCTCTCTCTGGTCTCTCTCTGGTCGCCCTCTCTGGTCTCTCTCTGGTCTCTCTTTCTCTCTCTCTGGTCTCTCTCTCTGGTATTTCTCTCTGGTCTCTCTCTCTGGTGTCTCTCTGGTCTCTCTCTGGTCTCTCTCTGGTCTCTCTCTCTGGTCTCTCTTTCTCTCTCTCTGGTCTCTGGTCTCTCTAGTCTCTCTCTGGTCTCTCTCTGGTCTCCCTCTCTGGTCTCTCTTTCTCTCTCTCTGGTCCCCCTCTCTGATCTCTCTCTGCTCTCTCTCTCTGGTATTTCTCGCTGGTCTCCCTCTCTGGTCTATCTCTGGTCTCTCTGGTCTCTTTCTGGTCTCTCTCTGGTCTCTCTCTGGTCTCTGGTCTCTCTCTCTGGTCTCTCTCTGGTCTCTCTCTGCTCTCTCTCTCTGGTCTCTCACTGGTCTCTCTGGTCTCTCTCTGGTATCTCTCTCTGGTCTCTCTGGTCTCTCTCTTGTCTCTCTCTGGTCTCTCTCTCTGTCTCTCTCTGGTCTCTCTCTGGTCTCTGGTCTCTCTCTGGTCTCTCTCTGGTCTCTCTCTGGTCTCTCTCTGGTCTCTCTCTGGTCTCTCTCTGGTCTCTCTCTGGTCTCTGGTCTCTGGTCTCTCTCTGGTCTCTCTCTGGTCTCTCTCTCTGGTCTCTCTCTGGTCTCTCTGGTCTCTCTCTCTGGTCTCTCTCTGGTCTCTCTTGTCTCTCTCTGGTCTCTCTCTCTGGTCTCTCTCTGGTCTCTCTCTGGTCTCCCTCTCTGGTCTCTCTCTCTCTGGTCTCTCTGGTCTCTTCTTGACCTGCTCCTGTCTTGCTGGTTGCAGACTATGTGGTGACGGCTGGTTCTCGCCTGGTGGTGGTGACTGCGGGGGTGAGGCAGCAGGAGGGGGAGAGTCGCCTCAACCTGGTCCAGAGGAACGTCAACGTCTTCCGCTCCATCATCCCCCAGATCGTCAAGCACAGCCCGGACTGCACACTCATCGTAGTCTCTAACCCCGGTGAGAGAGACCAGAGAGAGAGACCAGAGAGATACCAGAGAGAGACCAGAGAGAGACCAGAGAGAGACCAGAGAGAGACCAGAGAGAGAGACCAGAGAGATACCAGAGAGAGACCAGAAAGAGAGACCAGAGAGAGATACCAGAGAGATACCAGAGAGAGACCAGAGAGATACCAGAGAGAGACCAGAGAGAGAGAGACCAGAGAGAGAGCAGAGAGAGACCAGAGAGAGAGAGACCAGAGAGAGAGAGACCAGAGAGAGAGAGACCAGAGAGCGAGAGACCAGAGAGAGAGAGCAGAGAGAGAGCAGAGAGAGAGAGACCAAAGAGAGAGAGAGCAGAGAGAGACCAGAGAGAGAGAGACCAGAGAGAGAGAGCAGAGAGAGACCAGAGAGAGAGAGACCAGAGAGAGAACAGAGAGAGAGAACAGAGAGAGAGAGACCAGAGAGAGAGAGAGCAGAGAGAGACCAGAGAGAGAGAGACCAGAGAGAGAGAGCAGAGAGAGACCAGAGAGAGAGAGCAGAGAGCGAGAGACCAGAGAAATGTGTAAAAGATCAATTTGAACATAAGCTAGGTGGAGCAAATTTTTTAAATTTTAAAGTTGTTTTGTATTTCTTTCTATCTATCTGTGTGTGTGTGTGTGTGTGTGTCTGTGTGTCTGTGTCTGTGTCTGTGTGTGTGTCTCTGTGTGTGTGTGTGTGTGTGTGTCTGTGTGTAGTGGATGTGTTGACATATGTGACCTGGAAGTTGAGTGGTTTTCCCAAACACCGCGTCATCGGCAGCGGCACAAACCTGGACTCGGCTCGGTTCCGGTTCCTGATGTCGGAGCGTCTCGGGGTCCACACCAGCTCCTTCAACGGCTGGGTCCTGGGGGAGCACGGGGACACCAGCGGTAACACACACACAGAGAGAGAGACACACAGAGACACACACACACACACACACACACACACACACACAGAGAGAAACACACAGACACACACCCACACACACACACAGAGACACACACACACACAGAAAGAGAGAGACACATACACATACACAGAGACACAGACTGGTGCAGATCCTGGTGTGTCTCACATGGTCCCTGTGCTCAGTCCCTGTGTCTCTCAAGGTCCCTCTGTCTCACATGGTCCCTGTGTCTCACATGGTCCCTGTGCTCAGTCCCTGTGTGGAGCGGAGCTAACGTTGCCGGAGTGAACCTCCAGAAGCTGAACCCTGACATCGGCACAGACTCAGACCAGGAGCAGTGGAAGGAGACGCACAAGGCTGTGGTGGACAGGTGAGAGGAGGGTAGGAGGAGGAGGTGAGGAGGAGGAGAGGAGGAGAGAGGAGGAGAGAGGAGAGAGGAGGAGAGAGGAGGAGGAGGAGAGAGGAGGAGAGAGGAGGAGAGAGGAGGAGAGAGGAGGAGAGAGGAGAGAGGAGGAGGAGAGAGAGGAGGAGGAGAGGAGGAGGAGGAGAGAGGAGGTGAGGAGGAGAGAGGAGGAAGAGAGGAGGAGGAGAGGAGAGGAGGAGAGAGGAGGAGAGAGGAGGAGAGAGGAGGTGGAGGTGGAGGTGAGAAAGAGAGAGGAGGAGAGAGGAGCTGGAGGAGGAGAGGAGGAGAGAGGAGAGGAGAGAAGGAGGAGGTGAGGAGGAGAGAGAAAGAGAGAGGAGGAGAGAGGAGGAGGTGAAGAGGAGGAGAGAGAAAGAGAGAGGAGGAGAGAGGCGGAGGAGAGAGGAGGAGAGAGGACGAGGAGAAAGGAGAGAGGAGGTGAGGAGAAGGTGAGAGGAGGAGGTGAGAAAGAGGAGAGAGGAGGAGGAGAGAGGAGGAGGAGAGAGGAGGAGGTGAGAAAGAGGAGGAGGAGAGAGGAGGTGAGAGGAGGTGAGAGGAGGAGGAGAGGAGGGGGGAGGTGAGGAGGAGAGAGGAGGAAATAGGGGGAGAGGAGGAGGAGAGGAAGGGGTGAGAGGAGGAGGTGTAGGTGAAGAGACAGAAGCCGGACATTCTACAGTTGTATATACTGTATTTGTGAGGAGGTGAGAGGAGGAGAAGAGACAGTTGTATATATTTGTGAGGAGGTGAGAGGAGGAGAGAGGAGGTGAAGAGACAGTTGTATATACTTGTGAGGAGATGAGAGGAGGTGAGAAGAGGAGAGAGGAGGTGAAGAGACAGTTGTATATATATTTGTGAGGAGGTGGGAGGAGGTGAGAGGAGGAGAGAGGAGGAGAAGAGACAGTTTTACATATTTGTGAATGAGCCTGAATCACTACAGTGTGATTTCTAAAGACTTTACAGATAATCCAGTTGATTAAAAACACAGAGAGCTGTTGGCCTGTAGGGGGCAGACCACTCATGTGCACTAGTGTCCTGGTGACCCCTGACCTCTGACCCCTTGACCTTTGACCCCTTGACCTCGGACCCCTGACCTCTGACCCCTGACCTCTGACCTCTCTTCAGTGCGTACGAGGTCATCAGGTTGAAGGGTTACACAAACTGGGCGATCGGTCTGAGCGTCGCTGACCTCACAGAGAGCATCGTGAAGAACATGAGCCGAGTACATCCTGTCTCCACCATGGTCCAGGTCAGAACTCTATGGTCTCACCCTGGTCTCACCCTGGTCTCTCTCCCTGGTCTCCCTCCCTGGTCTCCCTCCCTGGTCTCTATAATCAATATTTAGGCCAAACAACACATTCTTGATTCGGTTTACTTCAGGGGTCTCAAACCGGTTCCAGATAGGGCCATGTAGCTGCAGGTTTTGCTTCCAACAGTTCCAAACTGAGCAGGAGCACAGATGACTCCACCCATTTCCTCAAATCTTCAGGTTAAAACTGGACTCACCTGAGGAAAAGGGTGGAGTCATCTGTGCTCCCGCTCAATTTGGAACTGATGGAAGTAAAACCTGCAGCCACATGGCTCTTTCTGGAACCGGTTTGAGACCCCTGGTTTACTTGAACCAAAGCTATAATCATTGTTGTTCCCCACTCCGACCACCAGAGGGGGTACTGTTGTCACATGATCTTCCTCTTGTGTGTCCTCCTCCTCCTCCCCCAGGGCATGCTGGGTATCCGTGAGGAGGTCTTCCTGTCCCTGCCCTGCGTCTTGAACGGCAGCGGCGTGAGCAGCGTGGTGAACGTGACCCTGACGGAGGCCGAGGTCACGCAGCTGAAGAAGAGCGCGGACACTCTGTGGGGCATCCAGAAGGACCTCAAGGACCTCTGAGCTCCTGCCTCACCCCCTCACCCCCTCACCCGCCTCACCCACTCACCCCCTCACCCCCACCACAAAGGCACAAGTCCCCATGCAGTCTCAACAGTGTTAAAGCTGGGGGACGTAACTTTTTGACTATTTGGGCTGTCTCATTTCCACATTTCTGTCTCTCCCTCTGGTCCCTCTCTGGTCTCTCTCTCTGGTCTCTCTCTGGTCTCTCTCTCTGGTCTCTCTCTCTCTGGTCTCTCTCTCTGGTCTCTCTCTCTCTGGTCTCTCTCTCTGGTCTCTCTCTGGTCTCTCTCTGGTCTCTCTCTCTGGTCTCTCTCTTTTCTCTCTCTGGTCTCTCTCTGGTCTCTCTCTCTGGTCTCTCTCTGGTCTCTCTCTCTGGTCTCTCTCTCTGGTCTCTCTCTCTGGTCTCTCTCTGGTCTCTCTCTCTGGTCTCTCTCTCTGGTCTCTCTCGGGTCTCCCTCTCTGGTCTCTCTCTCTGGTCTCTCTCGGGTCTCCCTCTCTGGTCTCTCTCTCTGGTCTCTCTCTCTGGTCTCTCTCTCTGGTCTCTCTCTCTGGTCTCTCTCTGGTCTCTCTCTCCGGTCTCTCTCTGATCTCTCTCTCTGATCTCTCTCCCTGGTCTCTCTCTCTGGTCTCTCTCCCTCTCTTCACAGTATGCTCTTTGGACTGTGGTAGTTATCCATTGAATCCACATTTATTTGTATAGCACAGATCATTCAAAATGCTTCTGATTTAAAGCAACAGTACATTGTGTGTTTTCAACATTTGGAGAAATGATTTTGTAAAATGACCTGATGTGCCAAAAGTGACAAAGGTTCTCACCAGCAGCTCTCCCTCGGTGCTGTGTCCAATAAAATCACTTCCTGCAAATGTTTGTGTGTGTGTGTGTATTTTTGTCTGGTCTCTCTCTCTGGTCTCTCTCTGGTCTCTCTCTGGTCTCTCTCTCTGGTGTCTCTCTGGTCTCTCTCGCTGGTCTCTCTCTGGTCTCTCTCTCTGGTCTCTCTCTGGTCTCTCTCTCTCTGGTCTCTCTCTGGTCTCTCTCTGGTCTCTTTCTTCTCTCTCTCTGGTCTCTCTTTCTCATGTTCATGAGATGTATCATGTATAATGTGTATCCTTGTACATGTGACATCACAAATATCAAGACCAAGCCTCATTCTTTTCACTTTTATTAAAAGAAACAGAAATCAGAGTTCTGGTCATGAAGGGGAGGGCTGGGTCTCAGACTCAGGTCTCAGGTCTCAGTCTCAGGTCTCAGGTCTCAAGTCTCAGGTCTCAGTCTCAGGTCTCAGTCTCAGTCTCAGGTCTCAGACTCAGGTCTCAGGTCTCAGGTCTCAAGTCTCAGGTCTCAGGTCTCAGGTCTCAGTCTCAGGTCTCAGACTCAGGTCTCAGGTCTCAGACTCAGGTCTCAGGTCTCAGTCTCAGGTCTCAGTCCTAGTCTCAGTCTCAGGTCTCAGTCTCAGGTCTCAGACTCAGGTCTCAGTCTCAGGTCTCAGACTCAGGTCTCAGTCTCAGACTCAGATCTCAGGTCTCAGGTCTCAGGTCTCAGGTCTCAGACTCAGGTCTCAGGTCTCAGGTCTCAGGTCTCAGTCTCAGGTCTCAAGTCTCAGTCTGAGACTCAGGTCTCAGGTCTCAGTCTGAGACTCAGGTCTCAGGTCTCAAGTCTCAGACTCAGGTCTCAGGTCTCAAGTCTCAGGTCTCAAGTCTCGGTCTCAGGTCTCAAGTCTCGGTCTCAGGTCTCAGGTCACAAGTCTCAGGTCTCAGGTCTCAAGTCTCAAGTCTCAAGTCTCAGGTCTCAGGTCTCAGGTCTCAGTCTCAGTCTCAAGTCTCAAGTCTCAAGTCTCAGGTCTCAGGTCTCAGGTCTCAAGTCTCAAGTCTCAAATCTCAAGTCTCAAGTCTCAAGTCTCAAGTCTCAAGTCTCAAGTCTCAAGTCTCAGGTCTCAGGTCTCAGTCTCTGACTGAGGTCTCAGGTCTCAGGTCTGGGCAGAGGGTAGTGGGTACAGCTGGTAGTAGTGGTCCCTGCTGCGGTCCCTGCTGCGGTCCCTGATGCGGTCCCTGATGCGGTCCCTGATGCGGTCCCTGCTGTGGCGTTTCCCGAAGCGCAGATTGAACGTGTTGTCGTTGTAGCGGCTGCGCTCTGAGCAGAGGAGAGAGTCCTCTCTGTTCGACACACACACGTCATCAGGAAGGAGGTCCCTGAGGGCCCGCAGGGAGGCCCCTGAGAAACACAAACATGTATGAACAGCCCTGTTTCCACCAGCCCCAAATGCAGCTATGATGCTATATATAAATATAAACTAGATGCAGCTATGATGCTATATATAAATATAAACTAGATGCAGCTATGATGCTATACAGTGCCTTGCGAAAGTATTCGGCCCCCTTGAACCTTTCAACATTTCGCCACATTTCAGGCTTCAAACATAAAGATATAAAAAAAATATTTTTTGTCATGAATCAACAACAAGTGGGACAGAATCGTGAAGTGGACCGAAATGTATTGGATAATTTAAACTTTTTTAACAAATAAAAAACTGAAAAGTGGGGCGTGCAATATTATTCGGCCCCTTTACTTTCAGTGCAGCAAACTCACTCCAGAAGTTCAGTGAGGATCTTTGAATGATCCAATGTTGTCCTAAATGACTGATGATGATAAATAGAATGCACCTGTGTGTAATCAAGTCTCCGTATAAATGCACCTGCTCTTTGATAGTCTCAGGGTTCTGTTTAAAGCGCAGAGAGAACCATGAAGACAAAGGAACACACCAGGCAGGTCCGAGATACTGTTGTGGAGAATTTTAAAGCCGGATTTGGATACAAAAAGATTTCCCAAGCTTTAAACATCTCAAGGAGCACTGTGCAAGCAATTATATTGAAATGGAAGGAGTATCAGACCACTGCAAATCTACCGAGACCCGGCCGTCCCTCCAAACTTTCATCTCAAACAAGGAGAAGACTGATCAGAGATGCAGTCAAGAGGCCCATTATCACTCTGGATGAACTGCAGATAACTACAGCTGAGGTGGGAGAGTCTGTCCATAGGACAACAATCAGTCGTGCACTGCACAAATCTGGCCTTAATGGAAGATTGGCAAGAAGAAAGCCATTTCTCAAAGATATCCATAAAAGTCTCGTTTAAAGTTTGCCACAAGCCACCTGGGAGACACACCAAACATGTGGAAGAAGGTGCTCTGGTCAGATGAATCCAAAATCAAACTTTTTGGCCACAATGCAAAACGATATGTTTGGCGTAAAAGCAACACAGCTCATCACCCTGAACACACCATCCCCACTGTCAAACATGGTGGTGGCAGCATCATGGTTTGGGCCTGCTTTTCTTCAGCAGGGACAGGGAAGATGGCTAAAATTGATGGGAAGATGGATGGAGCCAAATACAGGACCATTCTGGAAGAAAACCTGTTGGAGTCTGCAAAAGACCTGAGACTGGGACAGAGATTTATCTTCCAACAGGACAATGATCCATAAAGCCAAATCTAAAATGGAATGGTTCACAAATAGACGTATCCAGGTGTTAGAATGGCCGAGTCAAAGTCCAGAACTGAATCCAATCGAGAATCTGTGGAAAGACTGCTGTTCACAAACGCTCTCCATCCAACCTCACTGAGCTCGAGCTGTTTTGCAAGGAAGAATGGGCAAGAATTCCAGTCTCTCGATGTGCAAAACTGATAGACATACCCCAAGCGACTTGCAGCTGTAATTGCAGCAAAAGATGGCGCTACAAAGTATTAGCGCAAGGGGGCCGAATAATATTGCATGCCCCACTTTTCAGTTTTTTATTTGTTAAAAAAGTTTAAATTATCCAATAAATGTCCTTCCACTTCACTATTGTGTCCCACTTGTTGTTGATTCTTGACAAAAAAAAAGTATTTTTATATCTTTATGTTTGAAGCCTGAAATGTGGCAAAATGTTGAAAGGTTCAAGGGGGCCGAATACTTTCGCAAGGCACTGTATATAAACTGCCTCGCACAAACTAGTGCGAGGCAGAGCTTTTGGTTTGACCATAAACTTAACTGTTCCACATCTTTAACTAACTCTAACAAACTTTAACTAACTCTAACAAACTTTAACTAACTCTAAATCATGAGACTGTCCATCTGTAACACATACTATTGTCCACATAGTACTATAGTCCACATGGTACTATAGTCCACATAGTACTATAGTCCACATGGTACTATAGTCCACATGGTACTATAGTCCATATGGTACTTGCACCATGATAGGGTGCTATGCTTTCAGTGTGTAATGTTGTTCTGATGTAATACATCTTCTCAGGGTCTTGCTTGTGGCACGAGTCGAGCAAAGAAACTTCTCTCTTCTGTGACTTCTTTGACTAAATTGTCTCTTTGTTGCAGAAGTGGGATTATTCCCATAAAAGACGAAGAAATGGAGAGAGAGAATGAAAAGCTGGAATGTGTAGTACTGGAAAACTGCCGTCTTCTTGAGGATGTGGAAGGAGCCAAGCCAGCAGATGGGTACAGCACTGCAAGGCCACAGCGCCCTCTGGAGGCTGAGTGGACTCCTCGACTCTACACTTCAGATCAACAGAGCATAGTGAGGCCACAGCGCCCTCTGGAGGCTGAGTGGACTCCTCCACTCTACACTTCAGATCAGCAGAGCATAGTGAGGCCACAGCGCCCTCTGGAGGCTGAGCAGAATGTCCAAGGGAATGACTCACTGGGGGGGGGGGGGGCAATTTGTGATAACACATGCCCCAAGACAGATGATTACACCAAAGACCCCTGCTAAACTACCCAAGTACAGTGGAACCGCACCAGTAGTGCCCTTCCTTGCCCAAGTTAGACTAGCATCATGGCACAGCGGCTCGAGCGACGAGGAGACTGCCCCCCACCTTGCTCTGGCTTTAGACGGAGTCGCCCTTCAAGTTCTCCTGGACTTGTTCCTGGAGGATCAGTAAGATTTTCTGGCCCTGATGATTGGACTCGAACGACACTTTGAAAAGCGTCTTCATGCTGAAGAGAGCAGGGAGCAGCTGAGTGGCCTATATCGGAAGGAGAGGGAAAACTTGGTTGTCTTCGCGGCCGATATACAGTTCCATACCCAGTTACCCCCAGTTTTCAACTGCTGCATGTGATGAACTCGCACTTAATGCATTTCTTCAAGGTCTTACTCCAGGGAGGCTACGTCAATATGTCCGTCTTGCTCGCCCTCGCTGCCTGAATGAAGCTCTCCAAGAAGCTGAACGGGCGGAGATAGTGCTCTCCACACGGCCAAACCTGGGAAGGGCCACAAACACGCTGCAGTGAGTCCGCCAAGTGGATTATGAAGAAGTCAGAGTTGAAGAAGTCTATCAGGTCCGTACTCCAGCCCCCAGGGGACGCCGCAGAACTGCTACCAATCGCTGTTTTCGCTGCGATGAGCCCGTCACTTAGCTCAAAACTGCCCTGCGCCATCCCCAAAAGCTAGAGAGCCACAGGCACAAACTGGAGGTGGAGTAGAGAGAAAGACCCCACCCCAAACACATGCCCCTCTAAAAGGACAATGCACCTTGGAGGGCCAACCTGGCTGTTTGAAAGGACTGTACTTGGATTGCGTTTTAGATGGCCAACCCTGTGGTGCTCTGATTGATACAGGGTCCACTGTCTCGCTCGTACAGCCAGGAGCACTCCCCGATACAACATCCTGGTCACACACATGCAGCTCACTACTGTCACAGGAGAGAGGACGGGTATGCAAGGAAAGAAAAGTGTGTGGATTGAAGTTCAAGACCAAATGTTGGAACATGGACTCTGGTTTGCGCGAATACAGGACCGTTGTATCATTGGATTAGACTTGTTAGTTCACTGGGGCGCTGTCGTTGACCTTGTGAAGTCAACCTTCACTCTAGGGCCTCTCACAGTTGATCTCCAGCCGGAAAACCGGAAAAGAAAGAGGCAGAGCAAAGTCAGTCCAAGAGATGCGGTCCCGGCAGCGGTGCTCCCAGCGGTCCAGGTCCAGGCGGTCCCAGCAGCGGCGGTCCAGGTCCAAGTTCAAAGAGACAGGTGACAGAGGACATGATCCACAAAATGCTTGCGGCTGGAATAATAGAACCATCCAGTAGTCCCTGGGCATCTCCAGTGGTTCTTGTGCGCAAGAGACAGGGGGTGGTTCTGTGTGGATTACCGTCGTCTCAACGCGGTCACAAAGAAGGACTCTTATCCACTAGCCTGCATCGATGATGCTCTGGACTACATTAGTGGTTCAAGCTGGATCAGCTCCCTCAACATGCAAAGTGGATAGTGGCAGGTGGAGCTTAGCACCTAGGCCAGGGCAAAGACTGCACTCACATTCGGACTGGGACAAGGCAGTTTCGTGTAATGCCATTCAGCCCGTGCAATGCGCTGGCCACGTTCGAGCGTCTCATGGAGCGGGTGCTCGCTAACATTCCTCGCAGCCATTGTGTGGTGTACCTGGATGACCTGCTGGTCCATGCGAGTTATTTCAGCAAAGCTTTGGGCCACCTGACCGGCGTCCTCAGTGCTATTCGTCACGCTGGTCTGCGGCTGAACCCTGCCAAGTGCCACCTACTGCAGAGAGAGACTACTTTCCTGAGTCATGTGGTCAGTGCTGAAAGAGTGGCGACTAACCCAGAGAAAGTAGCAGCTGTCCAGGATTGGCCAATCCCGGTTAACGTATGTGATCTCTGCAGTTTCTTGGGACTGGCGTTCTACTACCACTGCTTTGTCAGGAACTTCGCTTCTGTCGCAGCGCCCCTACAGCTCCTGACGGACAAAGAATGGCCATTAGTTTGGACTGACAGCTGTGACACTGCTTTCAACAAGCTAAAAGCAGCCCTCACCGCCGCGCCCATCTTGGCCTACCCGCACGCAGATCTCCCCTATGTGGTGGACACAGTCGATAGTGGCACAGGAATTGGGGCAGTCCTCTCACTGCAGTCACGCTCTCAGTCAAGAGAAGAGGAGCTACTGTGTCACACACCGAGAATTGTTGGCGGTGGTGACGGCAGTACACCATTTGTGCCCTTATTTGCACGGCAACAAGTTCCTCCTACACACAGATCATGCCTCACTGACCTGGCTTTTGAGTTTCAAGCAGCCAGAGGGATAAGTAGCTCGCTGGCTGGAAGTTCTCCAAACCTACAACTTTGAGATTCAACATCCCCCGGGCAACAACACAATAATGCGGATGCCCTGTCACGACCCCCGTGTGTTATAGCAGAGTTTTGTTACACAACAAACCTCCCTGATGACCTTCCTTCAGAGCAGCTGCGGCAACTGCAAGAGTCCTTTACCACCCTGGCCCTGCTCAGGAAGTGGCTGGAACTGCCCAGAGTTCCTGAATGGCCGGCGGTTTCCTCCATGGCACTGATGTTAAGGCCTATTACTCTCAGTGGGGCAACATTGAGCTTTGTAACAACTTGCTATTCCGGAGGTGGGGGGCTCCAGGGCAAACACATCTTGCAGTTATTAGTGCCCCTTCACTTCAACCTCAGGTCCTTCAGAGTGTGCACGGCTCAATCGCTCAGGCCACTTTGGCATCTCCAAGACCCTCCATCGGCTTCTGGGACATTTCTTCTGGCCCTTGCTGCCGACAGGACGTGAAAATACATGTGCATTGTTGTGATTTGTGCACTGCTCGGAAAGGTCCCACGCAGTGCTCACATTCCCCCCTTCAGCAATACCTGGTTGGGGCACCCATGGAACGAGTAGTTGTGGATATTCTCGGCCCCTTTCCTGTGACCAATTCTGGAGACCGCTACGTCCTTGTGGCTATGGACTATTTTACAAAGTGGTCAGAAGCCTATGCTGTACCAGATCAAAGTGCCGCCACGACAGCTGGAAGACTGGTTGATGAGATGTTCACCCGCTTTGTAGTGCCCGCTGAGCTTCACAGTGACCAGGGGCGGAAGTCTGCAAGCTGCTCGGGTTTAAGAAGACGTGAACAACTCCTCTCCACCCCCAGAGTGACGGGTTAGTGGAGAGGTTTAATCGGACTTTGGCGACTCAACTTGCCATCCTGGTCAGCAAGCACCAGCGTGACTGGGACCGTTCCCCTCGTCCTCTGGGCCTACCGAACCGCAGTCCAAGAGTGCCCCCCGGCTGCTCTCATGTTCGGGCGAGAGCTCTGTACACCTGTGGCTCTAGTGTTCGGGAGCCCTCCGGAACCAGAGATTGCAGAAGGGCGCGAGATGGACAATTTCTAAAGACTCAGAGAGCACCTGCGGGTAGAGCACGACTCTACTCGTCATGTTCAAGCCAGTTCCGGGTGCGTCAGAAGAGAGCCTATGACAGTCTCTGCCGCGGTCGACCCTTCCTACCTGAGGACAAAGTGTGGGTTTATTGCCCTTAGCAAAAGAAGGGTATCTCTCCCAAGCTGTGCAGCCATTGGAGGGGACCAGCCGCAGTACGCCTGTCCGACGTGGTATGCTGTGTATGCATGCCAAACAAGGGCCGTTTGGTGGTACTACACAGAGACCGGCTAGCTCCGTACCACCCCTATGTTCCTGAGGCTGTTGGTGAAGTGGACCAAGGCCCCCAAGTTCATCTTCCTCCCAGAGAAGAAAGATGAACCCAATTCGCCAGCGTTGTCAAGCTGGTCACTTGAGAGACTATGTGTCATGTGATGGGGATGTCGGGGACGTCTCACCCCTCCAGTGTTCTGTTTTGTAAGGTTTAGTGTTGTGTGGACTGTTATGTACTTTTGTCCACACAGTACTATTGTCCACATAGTACTGTTGTCCACATAGTACTGTTGTCCACATAGTACTATTGTCCACATGGTACTATAGTCCACATGGTACTAATGTCCACATTATGTGGACTGTTAAGTGCTTGCACCATGATAGGGTGCTATGCTTTTCGGTGTGTAATGTTGTTCTGATGCCAAGCTGTAAGAAATCTTCTTGGGGTCTTGTATGTGGCACAAGGTCTGTGGGGTTAGAGTGTGAGCCTACTGACCCATCCTACTGATCCATACTACTGACCCATCGTACTGACCCATCCTACTGACTCATCCTACTGACCATCCTATTGACCCATCCTACTGACCCATTGTACTGACCCATCCTACTGACCTATCCTACTGACCCATCCTATTGACCCATCCTACTGACCCATCGTACTGACCCATCCTACTGACCCATCCTACTGACCCATCCTACTTGACCCATCCTACTGACCCATCGTACTGACCCATCCTACTGACCCATCCTATTGACCCATCCTACTGACCCATTGTACTGACCCATCCTATTGACCCATCCTACTGACCCATCGTACTGACCCATCCTACTGACCCATCCTACTGACCCATCCTACTTGACCCATCCTACTGACCCATCCTACTGACCCATCGTACTGACCCATCCTACTTGACCCATCGTACTGACCCATCCCACTGACCCATTCTACTGACCCATCCTACTGACCCATCCCACGGAACAGAAGGTGGCGGTAATGCGCTAAAAATTGGTTTAGTTTGTGGGACAAGTCGAGCAAAGAAACTTTTCTCTTCTGTGACTTCTTTGACAAAATTGTCACAGTTCTGGTGTCCACATAGTGCTATTGTCCACATGGTACTATTGTCCACATGGTACTATTGTCGACATGGTACTATTGTCGACATAGTACTATTGTCCACATAGTGCCATTGTCCACATGGTACTATTTTCCACATGGTACTATTGTCCACATGGCACTAAAGTCCACATAGTACTATTGTCCACATATTGTCCACATAGTACTATTGTCCACATGGTACTATTGTCCACATAGTACTATTGTCCACATGGTACTATTGTCCACATGGTACTGTTAGTATAGTTTCTCCTGCTGGTCTCACAGTCACATTGTATGAAAAAACAAAACACATTTAATTTGGGTTCAAATGAAACGTAAAACATGTGACTGAGCTTTGAGTAAAACATTAGTTTAATTTCAGAATGTTTACATTACTGTAAGACACAGCATCATCACAAAAAGTATTTAAGAGAGTCAGAAAGTTAGCTGCTTGAAGCCCGTACCTGCAGTGTACGTGGTGCGTCCCGGGGACCCTCTCTTCAGGGCCCCTTTCTCTGAGGCCCCTCTCTCCGGGGCCCCTCTCACCGTGGCCCCTATGATGCTGGGGTCCCGTCCCAGCAGGAGTGCAGCTACAGCCAGCGCGGTCAGCAGCAGAGCCATGTCTCCTCCACCGCTCTCTCCACACTGCTTTTATGGCCCTCCGCAGGGGGTTGGCGCTCCGGGGGCCGCGCTGATGGGCTCCGGGGGCTGCGCTGATGGGCTCCGGGGGCCACGCTGATGGGCTCTGGGGACCGCGCTGATGGGCTCCGGGGCCACGGCTAATAGTGCTCCGGTCCGGCGGCCGTGCTTTTTAGTTGCATCATTCATGGGGGATTCTGGGAAATGTGGATATTTGAATATAGGACACGGCCTGGTTTCCATAATGGACTTCAGCAGAACCATGTGTTCTCTGCGTTCCGGACATTTGTGTTTTAGCGACAGCGGCGCCAGAGAAAAGCTTTAAAGGAGACATGTCCTGACCACTCTAAGGGCAACATTTATGCAAAATGTTCTTTTTTCAGCTTTTAACAAAGTCAAATCATCCGACATCTAAACACGGTGTTTTTAGATCCATCTGCGTTCCCTTTTGTTTGTGCTAAAGAAGAAATATGGCTCATTACATTTGTCCAATAATGATAATAATAATAATAATGATAATAATAATAATAATAATAATAATAATAATGATTTATTTATTTTTGTCATGTGAATGTGAATGCCCCTACATATAAGCCAAGTTGTGCTTCATGGGAGTCCCTTCATAAACCTAAATATTTATGTAAAAGATGTGGATTTAACTTATGTTTGTGAACAAATAATAAATAAATAAATAATAATAATAATAATAATAATAATGATAATAATAATGATGATGATAAAGATAATAATGATGATAATAATAACAACAACAATAATAATAATAATAATAATAATGATAATAATAATAATGATAATAATAATAATGATAATAATAATAATGATAATAATAATGATGATTATAAAGATAATAATGATGATGATGATGATAATAATAATGATAATAACAATAATATTAATAATGAGAGTATGTACGATGGTCCCTCACTATAACACGGTTCACTGTTTTATTTTCTTGACAGAGTGTTTCTTATGCGCCGCAAGTAAACTCCAAGAATATAGTCAGATTATTGTCATTCAAAGTCAAAGAAAAAAATGTGTGATTCTCTCTGGTCTCTCTGGTCTCTCTCTCTGGTCTCTCTCTCTCTCTGTCTCTGGTCTCTCTGGTCTCTCTCTGGCCTCTGGTCTCTCTCTGGTTTCTCTCTTTCTCTGGTCTCTCTCTCTGATCTCTGGTCTCTCTGGTCCTGCTCTCTCTGATCTCTCTCTGGTCTCTCTCTCTGGTCTCTCTCTCTGGTCTCTCACTGGTCTCTCTCTCTTTGGTCTCTCTCTTACTGGTCTCTCTGGTCTCTCTCATAGTGGTACAATGACATCATACTTACGGTGGACATGGACGGAGCCAAAACCACCTCCGGGTCTGTCTTTGATCAGGTTGAAAGGCCCACTCTCTCTCTCTCTTCTCATGGTACACACAGGTTTCACAATCACTGAACTCTGCAAACTCTGGACTCTGTGCAGAGAGAGCCACTGTCCTCTGAGGGGCCCGGACACGACAACAGCATTCCACTGCTGGCCATTGAGTCTGGCCCCTGGACCCAGAGTCTCCTGAAGACCACCTGCTGGACCTGCATGTAAGACTGTCCTGAAGTCTCCTTTCTCCTCTCGGGCCCCTATAGTCTCTGTGAGGCCCCTGCCTGTGCCTGTCCCCGGGGGCCCCTGTAGCCCGGTCCTCAGAGCCATGCGGCGCCTGTCCCGGTCCCTCTCGGTCACCTCCCTCAGTGGGGTGCTTCCTCAGTGGGACGAGGAGGAGCTGCAGGTGGAGGAGCTGCTGATGTTCGAGGCGTCCTGGGAGGTCACCAACAAAGGTCAGAGTCTGGACTTTAAAGCTCGGGTACGCAACTTTCAACTCACAGAAGATGGAAAACTGTGGTGGCTTTTTATACAGTCTGCTTCTGATATACACCACTCCTTCATGGTACATCTCTATGGTCTCTCTCTCTGGTCTCCCTCTCTCTGGTCTCTCTCTCTGGTCTCTCTCTCTCTGATCTCTCTGGTCTCTCTGGTCTCTCTCTGGTCTCTCTCTCTGGTCTCTCTCTCTCTGGTCTCTCTGATCTCTCTCTCATAGTACTATGTGGACTATAGTAGTATGTGGACAATAGTACTATGTGGACTATAGTACTATTTGGACAATAGTACTATGTGGACTATAGTACCATGTGGACAATAGTACAATAGCTGTCAAAGGTTTCATCACTAAAATGGCTGAGCCTCTGATGGTCCTCTGCAGTTAGGATTAGGGTTAGGGTCTGCAGCTCGCTCACAGGTCTGCCTGGGTTAGGGTTAGGGTTAGGGTCTGCAGCTCGCTCACAGGTCTGCCTGGGTTAGGGTTAGGGTTAGGGTCTGCAGCTCGCTCACAGGTCTGCCTGGGTTAGGGTTAGGGTCTGCAGCTCGCTCACAGGTCTGCCCGGGCTGTGGATGATGCTAACATTTTTATTGTAGACACCTTCCACAAGCATCTGGAAACCCCAAGTTCAATTGCCAGGCTCCTGTTTGCTGATTTTTCATCCTGCAGAGAAACATGACGTTTCCATCTGGACCATCAGCTCATCTTGTGGATTATGAGTTTCCTCACAGGGAGAACTCAGAGAGTTAAAGTGAACCAAATGATGTCTGATGTTCTGTTCACATCCACTGGCTCCCCACAGGGATGTGACTTATACCCTTCTGTACATCCTTTACGCGGACGATTGTAGGTCAACTCAGCCAAACTGTTATTGGGTTAAGTTTGCTGATGACACGGTTCTCCTGTCCTTACTGTCTGCTCCCCCTCTGGGTCACGGTCCCGCTCCCCCTCTGGGTCACGGTCCCGCTCCCTCTCTGGGTCACGGTCCTGCTATATTGGAGTTCATCTCATGGTGTGATGACTCCCACTTAGAGCTTAATATCAGTAAAACAAGGACATGATTGTGACATTTTCTTACAAGCAGAGACAGCTTGCTGAGGCTGAATCTTCTGCTGTCAGGGGAGAGCGTGTGGAGGTGGTTCATGAGTACAAATATCTAGGAACCATCTTTGATGACATGCTCAAATTCTCCAGTAACATAGAGGAGCTCCGGAAAAATATCTTTTAAGGAAATTAAGGTCGTTTGATGTCAGTCCAAACATCATGATGACCTTGTTCTTTCTTTTTCGTGTGTTTGCTGGTTCTGCTCTGTCACTGCACAGAACAGGGCTCAGTTAAACAGAGTTACAAATGTCTGCTCTAAGATCATTGATCAGATCCCTCCCTGCCCTGTGTGATCAGCAGGCCATGTATCTGTGTGTGTATCTGTGTGTCTCTGTGTGTGTATCTGTGTGTGTGTCTGTGTGTGTATCTGTGTGTGTATCTGTGTGTGTATCTGTGTGTTTATCTGTGTGTGATCAGCAGGCCATGTATCTGTGTGTGTGTGTGTGTGTGTGTGCGTGTGTGTATCTGTGTGTGTATCTGTGTGTGATCAGCCATGAGAGTGGCCTGTAGGATTCTGGGAGACCCTGTTCATGTTTTCTTCCCTGTGTTTGAGTGGCTGCCTTCAGGGAGGAGGCTGCGCTCGGTGGATGTAGGATGCTCGGTGGGATGTAGGACGCTCGGTGGATGTAGGACGCTCGGTGGATGTAGGATGCTCGGTGGATGTAGGATACTCGGTGGGATGTAGGACACTCGTGGATGTAGGACGCTCGGTGGATGTAGGACGCTTGGTGGGATGTATAACGCTCGGTGGATGTAGGACGCTCGGTGGATGTAGAACGCTCAGTGGGATGTAGGACGCTCAGTGGGATGTAGGACGCTCAGTGGATGTAGGACACTCAGTGGGATGTAGGATACTTGGTAGATGTAGGGCGCTCGGTGGATGTAGGACGCTCAGTGGATGTAGGACACTCAGTGGGATGTAGGACACTTGGTAGATGTAGGGCGCTCGGTGGATGTAGGACGCTCGGTGGGATGTAGGACGCTCGGTGGGATGTAGGACGCTCGGTGGGATGTAGGTCGCTCGGTGGATGTAGGACACTCGGTGGATGTAGGACGCTCGGTGGGATGTAGGACGCTCGGTGGGATGTAGGGCGCTCGGTGGATGTAGGACGCTCGGTGGATGTAGGACGCTCGGTGGGATGTAGGACGCTCGGTGGGATGTAGGACGCTCGGTGGATGTAGGATGTAGAACGCTCGGTGGAGGTAGGACGCTCGGTGGATGTAGGACGCTCGGTGGATGTAGGACGCAGAGGAGGAAATCCACTTTTGTTCCAACAGTGATTCAGCTGAACTCGGACTATAATAAAAATTATTCTGATTCTGATTATTTAGAGTTAGTTAAAGTTTGTTAGTTAGTTAAAGTTTGTTAGCGATAGTTAAAGTTTGTTAGCGTTAGTTAAAGTTTGTTAGAGTTAGTTAAAGTTTGTTAGAGTTAGTTAAAGTTTGTTAGAGTTAGTTAAAGCTCTGCCTCTGACTAGTTTATATTTATATACAGCATCATGAGCTACATGTCACTGACCGAGGCCTGGGGCCTCCCTGGGCCTCGGTCAGTGACATGTAGACCCCCCCCCCCACACACACACGCATGACCCGTGCTCTCTGTGACGTGTGTCTGATGTGGTGTTTACAGTTCAGGTTACACATTAAACCAACACACACACACACGCGAAGGACACACACACGCGAAAGACACACACTGGACACACACGGAGGACACACACATAGGACACACACTGGACACACGGAGGACACACACTGGACACACACGGAGGACACACACTGGAGGACACACACCGGAGGACACACACCGGGGGACACACACTGGACACACACGGAGGACACACACTGGAGGACACACACCGGAGGACACACACTGGACACACACACTGGACACACACTGAAGGACACACACTGAAGGACACACACTGGACACACACTGGATGACACACACTGAAGGACACACACCGGAGGACATACACCGGAGGACACACACCGAAGGACATACACTGAAGGACACACACCGGAGGACACACACTGAAGGACACACACCGGAGGACACACACTGAAGAACACACCGGGGGACACACACCGGAGGACACACACCGGAGGACACACACCGAAGGACACACACCCGGAGGACACACACGGAGGACACACACCGGAGGACACACACTGAAGGACACACACTGAAGGACACACACTGGACACACACTGAAGGACACACACCGGAGGACATACACCGGAGGACACACACCGAAGGACACACACCGGAGGACACACACTGAAGGACACACACCGGAGGACACACACCGGAGGACACACACCGGAGGACACACACGGAGGACACACACCGGAGGACACACACTGGAGGACACACACCGGAGGACACACACTGGACACACACTGAAGGACACACACTGAAGGACACACACTGAAGGACACACACCGGAGGACATACACTGGAGGACACACACCGGAGGACACACACCGAAGGACACACACTGAAGGACACACACCGGAGGACACACACTGAAGGACACACACCGGAGGACACACACCGGAGGACACACACCGGAGGACACACACCATAGGACACACACCGAAGGACACACACCGGAGGACACACACCGGAGGACACACACTGGACACACACTGAAGGACACACACAGGACACACACTTTTGTTTTTTACACCTGGGTTACAACAAGAACAGCTGTGATAAAAACACACAGAGCCCTGGATCCATGAATATGATAATGTGAGTTTTCTGGATCATCGCCTCAGACTCTTCTGCATCGGCAAAGAACAGCTCTGAAAACCCAGTGGGAGACCTCAGAGGTCAGAGGTCAGAGGTCCAGGTTGAGGTCCACCCATGGACAGACAGACCCGAGACCTGTCCAAGTAAAAGATCAGAACTATGTCTTGGTGCCACATTAACCTACACACGCTGACAGGGGCAATGTGCTCTCTCCCACTGTTCCTAAAACCACCTAAAGCAGTCAAGCATACAGTCGAAGCCTGACTCATGTTTTCAGGAAGACGTGAGTGTGAAGTGTGCTGGTGTGTGTGCAGTGGGAGGCATCTACACCGTGATCCAGACCAAGGCCAAGATCACTGTGGACCAATGGGGCGACAGCTACTACATGATGGGGCCATACTTCGAGCACAATTTCCAGACGCAGGTGGAGGGCTGCGACCCCCCCCACACCGCCGTCCAGAGGGCCATGGACGCCCTCAACAACAACGGCTGCAAGGTCAGCTCCAGGAGGGCTCGTTACGGTCCGCTCCAGGAGGGCGCGTTACGGTCCGCTCCAGGAGGGCGCGTTACGGTCCGCTCCAGGAGGGCTCGTTACGGTCAACTCCAGGAGGGCTCGTTACAGTCTGCTAAAATGCAATAATAACAGACACACAAGGGACATTGGAACCATAAGGGGCGGACTGGGACTGAGGCTGTAGACCCAGGACTGAGGCTGTAGACCCAGGACTGAGGCTGTAGACCCAGGACAGAGGCTGTAGACCCAGGACAGAGGCTGTAGACCCAGGACTGAGGCTGTACCGTGCTGGTGACTCGGTTGGTTTGCCCAGGTGCATTGTGGGCGCTGGCTGATCGAGGGCAGTCCGTTGGTGCTTCTGTTCGATCTGGGCTCGGCGGCCTGGAACCTTGACCGGTGGAGGGGAGACCTGTGGCACAGCTGCCACATTGGCCTGCCCTACGAGGACCGCGAGGCCAACGATGCCCTCATCCTGGGGGCCCTCATCGCCTGGTTCTTCAAAGAGGTCAGAGATGTACAGGGTGTGACATCACTAAATGTGACATCACTACATGTGACATCGCACCAGAGACTGCACATGGATGTAATGCTAACCCGCTAGCTCAAATACATCTGTGCTTTAGCGCTCTCTGTGATCCTGGGGTTTATATTGCGATATTATCTTTGCAGCAGCAGTGACGCTACAGAATACACAAAAATGAACGATTCTTTAAAAAATGCGGTTTATAAAGCTTTCTGGACACTGAAAGACACAGCGGTAATAAACAACTACAGTAGCCACAACTGCCCTGGGGCACCTTGACAGAAGTGAGCCAACCAGTCTGTGTGATCGGCCCCTCCCACCACCAACAATGTTCCTAGAGGTCTCCCATCACAGTTCTTACCAGGACCTGCCCTGCTGAGCTTCAGAGGTCTGATGGAATCTGGCTTTAATATTCAGGTGGCGCCAGATATAAGCCGTATCCAATCAGACGCCTTCAATTACGGATGAAACTCTGGCTTGCCCTAGCAACCGTCTTAGCAACACTTCTGCCCCAGAACTAACGCTCATAAAAGGAATAGTTTATATTCAAATCATCCTCTTCTGCTTCTAGCTAGCACAGTGATGATGTCACACTGTGGTGATGTCACAGTGTGGTGATGTCACGCTGTGGTGATGTCACACTGTGGTGATGTCACACAGTGGTGATGTCACACTGATGTCACACAGTGGTGAAGTCACACTGTGGTGAAGTCACACTGTGGTGAAGTCACACTGTGGTGACGTCACATTGTGGTGATGTCACACTGTGATGTCACACTGTGATGATGTCACGCTGTTGTGATGTCACACTGTGATGATGTCACACACTCTGGTGATGTCACACTGTGATGATGTCACACACTCTGGTGATGTCACACTGTGGTGATGTCACACTGTGGTGATGTTACACTGTGGTGATGTCACGCTGTGGTGATGTCACACTGTGTTGTCACACTGTGGTGATGTCACACTGATCTCGTCCACAGCTGACGGACGAGGTCGGGGACTCGCCGCGTGTGATTGGTCATTTCCATGAGTGGCAGGCGGGCCCCGGGCTGATCTTGTGCCGCTCCCGCAGGGTCCCAGTGGCCACCGTGTTCACCACCCACGCCACGCTGCTGGGACGCTACCTGTGTGCTGGCAACGCAGACTTCTACAACAACCTGCACACGGTACGTACGCCACGGCTTCATTAGCATGCTTATTAGCATGCTCATTAGCATGTCCATTAGCATGTTCCACAGGGACCAGAGAGAGAACAGAGAAAGATCAGAGAGAGAGACCAGAGAGAGACCTGAGAGAGACCTGAGAGAAACCAGTGAGAGACCAGAGAGAGACCAGAGAGAGACCAGAGGCAATCGCATCTCACACTGTTTTGAGAGTCAGGAGCGAGTTTCAAACCTAGTTTCCTGCTAGTTCAATAATCGTACCCGAGCTTTAACCTTTTTATTCTGAGGGTGGGACTGAATCAAACCTTTAATGACCTCTGATGAGCGGATAACGAGAAAAACGACCTGCTGCAGTCGCAGAGACGTGTAATTGGCTGAAGCAGGAAAGGGCAGCTCGCAGGTAAAGGTCACGTCCACAGACTGAGCTCCTAAATCCATGGACTCACTTCAGTCAGACTTCAGAGGAGCACAGGGACCCAGAGTCCAGAGCAGACCTGCTGGGACTCTGAGGAGCACAGGGACTGGCCTCCTTCTGTTATGTGTGACAGAACGCAAATGATAAAGATTTAATAAACAAAACACAAAAACAAAATCCAGGATATGACAGAACTCCAAACTCAAACCAAGACGAAACAGGGACAAAAAGTCACCAGAGGAGCACAGGGTTTGAATGAACACTTGTTTGTGAACGTGTGAACACATCAGAGCGTGTTCAGGACTGATCTCAGGTCTGTCTGCTCAGTTCAACGTGGACAAAGAGGCGGGCGAGAGGCAGATCTACCACCGCTACTGTCTGGAGCGAGCGGCGGTCCACTGCGCCCACGTCTTCACCACCGTCTCCCAGATCACTGCGGTGGAGGCGGGACACATGCTGCACCGCAAAGCTGGTAACAGACTGAGGCTGTAGACCCAGGACTGAGGCTGTATACCCAGGACTGAGGCTGTAGACCCAGGACTGAGGCTGTAGATCCAGGACTGAGGCTGTAGACCCAGGACTGAGGCTGTAGATCCAGGACTGAGGCTGTAGACCCAGGACTGAGGCTGTAGATCCAGGACTGAGGCTGTAGATAAACCACTTCCGTGTTGTGGTACGGCAGACGTGGTGACGCCCAACGGTCTGAATGTGAAGAAGTTCTCCGCTGTCCACGAGTTCCAGAACCTGCACGCCACGAGCAAGACACGCATCCAGGAGTTTGTGCGAGGACACTTCTACGGGTGACACTCATAAACACACACACTAACATATACACACACACACACACACACACACATATACACACACACACACAAACATACACACACATGATCACATGGATCACATGACAGATCACATGACCCATCACATGACCAATCACATGCCTGATCACATGACCCGCAGCAGACTCAGGTTCCGTGTTCTTCCTCAGTCACCTGGACTTTGATCTGGACAAGACGCTCTTCTTCTTCATCGCTGGACGTTACGAGTTTTCAAACAAAGGCGCCGACATTTTCCTGGAGTCTCTGTCTCGACTCAACTACCTGCTGCGGGTGAGGGCCATCAGGGGGGGCCACGCCTATCCGGGGGGCTACGCCTATTAGGGAGGCCACGCCTATCAAGGGGGCCACGCTTATCAGGGGGGCCACGCCTATCAGGGGAGCCACGCTTATCAGGGGGGCCACGCCAATCAGGGGGGCCACGCCAATCAGGGGGGCCACGCTTATCAGGGGGCCACGCCTATCAGGGGGGCCACGCTTATCAGGGGGGCCACGTCTGTTTTCATGTTGTAAATGTTATATGCGGGCTTCATGTACCGTGAGGTGGTTAGCACTCTCACTTCTCAGAGTGAGGGTCCTGGGTTTAGAACCAGGTGGACTGGAGTCACTACAGGCTACCAGAAACATATGTGACAGAGTGTGACGTCACCATGGTTTAGTCTTAAGGCAGAAGAAGCCAAAGAGAGAGAGCGACCAGAGAGACAAGAGAGACCAGAGAGACCAGAGAGACTAGAGAGACCAGAGAGACCAGGGAGACCAGAGAGACCAGAGAGAGACCAGAGAGAGACCAGAGAGAGACCAGAGAGGACCAGGGAGAGAGACCAGAGAGAGACCAGAGAGACACCAGAGAGGACCAGGGAGAGAGACCAGAGAGAGACCAGAGAGAGACCAGAGAGAGACCAGAGAGACCAGAGAGAGACCAGAAGGAGATCATGGATGGAGGCTGGAAATAGGTCGGACTCATTAGGGGTCTAAACAGAATGACACACATGCTTCAGTACATTCCTTTAGCGTGTGACGTGTGCTGAAGGAGGCTCTCTGCAGGTGCAGCGCAGTGATGTCACGGTGGTGGTCTTCTTCATCATGCCCGCCAAGACCAACAACTTCAACGTAGAGTCCCTGAAGGGGCAGGCGGTCCGCAAGCAGCTGTGGTAAAGCAGCAGACTGACCAGAGTGTGACATTACAGTGTTAGCCTTTATGTGGATTTATTAATGATATTCATGATGAAAATAATGATGATGATGATGATATGAATAATAATGATGATGATGAGGATGATGATGATATTAATAATAATGATGACGATGAGGATGATGATGATGATAATATTAATAATAATGATGATGATGATATTAATATTAATGATGACAATGAGGATGATGATGATATTAATAATAATGATGATGATGATAATAACAATAATGATGAGGATGATATTAATAATAATGATGACGATGAGGATGATGATGATAATAACAATAATGATGATGATATTAATAATGATGATGATGATGACATTAATAATAATGATGATGGTGATGATGATGATGATGATGATGATGGTGATGATGATGATGATGATGATGGTGATGATGATGATAATAATGATGATGATGATGATGATGATGGTGATGATGATAATAATGATGATGGTGATGATGATGGTAATAATGATGATGATGGTGATGATGATGATAATAATGATGCTGATAATGATGATAATGATGATAATAATGATGATGATGACGATGATGATGATGGTGATGATGATGATGGTGATGATGATGATGATAATAATGATGATTATGATGATAATGATGGTGATGATGATGATGATGGTAATAATGATGATGATGACGATGATGATGATGGTGATGATGATGATGGTGATGATGATGATAATAATGGTGATGATGACGATGATGATGATGGTGATGATGGTGATGATGATAATAATGATGATGATGATGATAATGATGGTGATGATGGTGATGATGATGATGATAATGACAATGATGATGATGATGGTGATGATGATAATAATAATGATGATGATAATGATGATGGTAATAATGATGATGAGGATGATGGTGATGGTTGTGGTGATGATGATGATGATGATGATAGTGATGATGATGGTGATGATGATAATAATGATGATGATGATGGTGATGATGATGATGATGGTAATAATGACTATGATGATGATGGTGATGATGGTTGTGATGATGATGATGATGATGGTGATGATGATAATAATGATGTTGATGATGATAATAATGATGATGATGATGATGGTGATGATGGTGATGATGATGATGATAATAATGATGATGATGGTAATAAGGATGATGATGATGATGATAATGATGATAATAATGATGATGATGATGGTGATGATGATGATGGTGATGATGATGATAATAATTATGATGATGATAATAATTATGATGATGACGATGATGATGATGATGGTGATGGTGATGATGATGATGATGTGATGATGATGATGGTGATGATGATGGTGAAGATGATAATAATGATGATGATGATGATGGTAATAATGACTATGATGATGATGGTGATGATGATGGTTGTGATGATGATGATGATGATGATGGTGATGATGGTGATGATGATAATAATGATGATGATGGTGATGATGGTGGTGATGGTGGTGATGATGATAATAATGATGATGATGACGATGATGATGATGGTGATGATGATGATGGTGATGATGATAATAATATTGTACCGGTTTTATATAGCGCTTCTTTGACAAAGACACTTCACATTAGATCATAGACTACTACTGGCTGCCCTGGGGCACCCTGACAGAAGAGTGGCAACCAGTCTGTGCCATCGGCCCTTCCCACCACCACCAACCATCCACACACACACCAGACTCATTCTAATGTGGGGGAAGTGTCTTGCCTAAGGACACAACCACAGCTGCACCATACCGTCACAGCCGCCCCACTGTGGCACCTTGTTTTCACAGAGGTCTCCCATCACAGTACTAACCAGGCCCTTCCCTGCTTAGCTTCTGAGGTCAGACAGTATTTGGCTTTCACATGCAGGTAACTATGGAGGACCGTGGCTGCCAAAACAATAAATATATACAGAAATAAATAAATGAATATATTTTAAAAAGATAAAATTTGCAAGGAAATGCATGCAATTATGAGAATAAGTGCATTGATTTCTGTATTTATTTATTTATATATTTATATATATATTTATTTAATTATGTTTTATATTTATTTATTTATACATTTATTTATTTATTTTTGTATTTATTCATACATTTATTTCTGCATTTATACATTTATTTCTCTATTTTTGTATTTATTTATTTATTTCTCTATTTATTTATTTATTTTTGCATTTATTTATTTCTCTATTTATTTATTTATTTCTGTATTTATTTATTTATTTCTGTATATATTTATTTATTTCTGTATTTATTTCTGTATTTATTTCTGTATTTATTTTTGTATTTATTTCCATTTATCTTAATGATATGCAAATTATGGGGTGGGCCGGGATGCCTCTGCTGTAAGCTCATTGGTTAATCTTTTTCCTTGCTCTATAGCTTGTCCAGCATAGGCGGTCATGTTGAGATCACTGTGTTGCCATCGCAATTGCGCACGGCTCCCGTGTTGTCTGGGCACAAAATAAAACATAGCTGATATGATAGAGGAGAATTAACGATCATCCTCCGCTCTGAGAGTCCTCGATGTTGGCCTCTTTATGCTCTAAAGCAGGCATGTCAAAGTCAAATACATCAGAGGGCCAAAAAAAATGTTTTGCTACGCGCCGAGGGCCGGACTGGTTCAATGTTTCTCAACATCCAGAGGCAGTGCCGGTGACACCTGCTGGCTCGATAAAATATGCTCTAAAGCCAATCCTCATACTGTACATATTAGATGTAATAGACATCTGAGAACATGACAATAGTAAAAAAAAAAAGCTCAAACTTGGTGAAATGTAAAAGAGCAGTCTGGACCTCTTTTCGGGGCGTTTTTTGAATAAATCTGAAGAATGGATTATCCATCCATCCATTTTCTACCCTTTAATCCATTTCTGGGTCAGGGGGGTGGCAGTCAGAGATGCCACCCAAGTCTCATAGCACCAGCCCCTCACTGACCCTCTGCAGGTGGTGAGTCCACAGGAGGACGGCTGCTCTCTGAGTGTGAGCATAGCCTTGATCTTTCAGTGGGGGCTTTGGGCAAAGTGGGGTTAAGTGTCTTGCCCAAGGACACAACGACAGCAGTCATCAGTGGGAGTCGGTGGAGAAGATGTAGAGGTGGGAAATGAACCCACGACCTTCTGGGCTTAAGGCCAATGCTCTACCAACTGAGCTACTGTCGCCCCAGAGAATGGATTATACTTTGGGAAATACAAGTGCATATTCTTCTTCAATGAACAGTTACGGAGAGAAAGAGACTAAGCAAGGATGGGGAAAGTCTAATTTGTTGGAGCAGCAGAAGACGAAAGGTAAAAAACAAATACAGACTGATTTATTTTGTGCCCATATTATGAGTTATATCTTTTTAATGCAAAGTCTGATTTACACTTACATATAAATATAGCTGAGAAAATAAGCTTTATAATGATATATAGCTTGTGGCTTATGAAGTTCAAAATACATCTGCTATTGCCAGCAGATGTATTTTTTTCCTTGTTTGCTCCCGCCGGCGGGGGCTAGTGAGCTTAAGGGCCTCAACGGCAGGCAATGTCCCGGGGGCCATAGATAATTCATTCGCGGGCCGGATTTGGCCCGCGGGCCTTGACTTTGACACATGTGCTCTAAAGGCAGTGACAGGTGCTCGTGTGTATTTTACTACAAAGTGCTGAAGTCCGCCGAAAAACCCCGCGTTCGAAGTGTGTGTTTTACACTCAGACACTGGAGCTTTCAGTGAAGGCTGAGAGAGACTGAAAAGTGGATGCGGCCACAGCACTGACCGGACCATATTCATGGTACAAACGGTGGCGCGAGTGTGGGGGGGGGCGCTCGTTCTACAGGCCCAGAGTCCGGTCGTTTTACACACTCAGAAACGTGTTTTCGTTGCAGCGGTATTCTGCACAGACGCAAGGCCCAGCTCATTCAGCTGCTTTTGAAAAGGACCTCACTCATAGGTTCAAGTCTGAGTGGAAGGATGTGTTGATGAGGAGGCTCAGCTCAGAGAAACGCCTGTAGGCCTACTGACGTTTCTGCCACGAGGACTGATGTTACAGGCAGTAGTTGGTGTGGTCATTTTTGCTGTTGATTATGTTTAATGTAATGATCAGTGTGCGCCAGGGCTACGTAAATACCAAAATCTATGTACTTTATAGTAATACTAAATGCGCCCCTGTGTGGATTTCATATGCCGGGACGGGACTTTATGTAGCTGATCCAAACGGAAAATAATATAGTCAACACTACAGTCCTCGTATGCCTGTCCGCCAGTCTTCTCAGCTCATCAGAAATTTCCCTCCAAACCGAATCCATTTCTATCATGCGTCTCCGACTTGTTTGGCTAGCTACTAGTTGTTACTGTGGCAACATAGCACAGCAGTTCCCAACTAGATATGCTTGAGGTCCAACATGCAACCGTTTACCACTCCAAAATGGAGGCTGTTCAGCAACACAGAGCAAAGGATAATTTACTTATTTGTATTAAAAAAAACACACACACACACACACACACACACACACACACACAATGCAATTGTTGCATATCGAAGAATGCTTGAGATTTTTATTTTTTCGTTCTGACATGGCTATAGCGAGAACACAGTGATCTCAACATGACCGCCTATGCTGGACAAGCTACGGAGCAAGGAAAAAGATTAACCAATAAGCTTACAGCAGAGGCATCCCGGCCCACCCCACGATTTGCATATCATTAAGAGAAATACGGAAAATAAATACAGAAATAAATACAGAAAAAAAATAGAGAAATAAATAAATAATAAATAGAGGAAAAAAATAAATAAATAGAGAAATAAATAAATAAATGCAAAAATAAATAAATAAATAGAGAAATAAATAATTAAATGCAAAAATAAATAAATAAATAGATAAATAAATAAATAAATACAAAAATAAATACAGAAATAGAGAAATAAATGAATAAATGCAGAAATAAATGTATGAATAAGTACAAAAATAAACAAATAAATATATAAATACAGAAATAAATAAATAAATAAATAAAGAAATATATAAATACAGAAATAAATGCACTTATTCTCATAATTGCATGCATTTCTTTGCAAATTTTATCTTTTTAAAATGTATTTATTTATTTATTTCTGTATATATTTATTGTTTTGGCAGCCACGGTCCTCCATAGGTAACAATATACATACATTTGAACATGACCTAGCAGGGGCCACTTTCCTTATATGGGCATTTGTTCCGATGGCGTTAGCTTCACGCTGTAACAGGGGCAGACGTGTCGCTAAGTCTTCCCCATCGGGCTTCACTGAGGATTAGCATTGTCCACATACAGTCTCTTCTGCTTTAAGCTAGCACTGTGGTGATGTCACACTGTGGTGATGTCACGCTGTGGTGATGTCACGCTGTGGTGATGTCACACTGTGGTGGTGTCAAAGTGTGGTGATGTCACACTATGGTGATGTCACCCCTTGGTGATGTCACACTCTGTCCTCTCCAGTCCATAGTGACGATAAACTGACTTTGTTTCTCAGGGATACTGCTCACACGGTGAAGGAGAAGTTTGGGCGCCGCCTCTACGATTCTCTGCTCAAGTAAGTCCAAGCTTCTAGTAGGGTAGAGTAGAGTAGAGTAGATCTGAGTAGAGTAGAGTAGGGTAGAGTAGAGTAGAGTAGAAGAGTAGAGCAGAGTAGAGTAGAGTAGGGTAGGGTAGGGTAGAGTAGAGTTGGGTAAAGTAGGGTAGGGTAGGGTAGAGTAGAGTAGAGTAGGGTAGAGTAGATTAGAGTAGAGTAGGGTAGAGTAGGGCAGGGCAGAGTAGAGTAGAGTAGAGTAGAGTAGAGTAGAGTAGGGTAGGGTAGGGTAGGGTAGGGTAGAGTAGGGTAGGGTAGAGCAGAGTAGAGTAGAATAGAGTAGGATAGGGAAGAGTAGAGTAGAGTAGAGTTGGTAGTTGGTTGGGTAGGGTAGGGTAGAGTAGGGTAGGGTAGAGTAGAGTAGAGTAGAGTAGAGTAGGATAGGGAAGAGTAGAGTAGAGTAGAGTAGAGTAGGGTAGGGTAGGGTAGGGTAGAGTAGGGTAGGGTAGGGTAGAGTAGAGTAGAGTAGGGTAAGGTAGGGTAGAGCCGGGTAGGGTAGAGTAGGATAGAGTAGGGTAGAGTAGGGTAGGGTAGAGTAGAATAGGGTAGGGTAGAGTTGGGTAGGGTAGGGTAGAGTTGAGTATGTCTGTGTAATGCAATTGTGTGACCACAGGGGGCAGATTCCTGACATGAACGCCATCCTGGACCGGGACGACTTCACCCTCATGAAGCGGGCCATATTCGCCACACAGGTACATGCACCCCCCACCTCTCTCCCTCCTCCCTCCCCTCTCTCCCCCCACCTCTCTCTCCTCTCTCTCCCCTCTTTCCTCTCTCCCCCCACCCCTCTCTCCTCTCTCTCCTCTCTCTCCCCTCTTTCCTCTCTCTTCCCTCTCCCCCCCACCCCTCTCTCCCCTCTTTCCTCTCTCTTCCCTCTCCCCCCCACTCCTCTCTCCCCCACCTCTCTCCTCTCTCTCTCCCCTCTCTCTCTCCCCCCTCTCTCCTCTCTCCCCTCTCTCTCTCTCCTCTCTCCCCCCACCTCTCTCTCTCCTCTCTCCCCCCACCTCTATCTCCCCTCTCTCCTCTCTCTTCCCTCTCTCCCACCACCCCTCTCTCTCCTCTCTGTGTGTGTCTGTGTGTTTGTTTTCTCTACAAATGAGGACTTTTGGATGATAACACAGCTTCAATATGGGGACCTGAGGAATAACGGGGACATTTTTCAGGTCCCCATATTCCCATGTACACTAGTGTTGTAGAGGCCAGAACTAGCTCCACACCAAAAATCAAGCATGTACCAAGATGGCCACAAATAGTGTGTGTGTGTGTCTCTCCATGTGTGTGTGTGTGTGTCTGTGTGTGTGTACGTGTGTCTCTGTTTGTGTGTCTGTGTGTGTCTCTGCGTGTGTGTTTTTGTGTGTCTGTGTGTGTCTGTGTCTCTGTGTGTGTGTGTGTCTCTGTATGTGTGTGTGTCTATGTGTGTCTCTGTGTGTGAGTGTGTCTCTGTGTGTGTCTGTGTGTGTGTGTGCGTGTGCGTGCGTGTGTCTCTGTGTGTACCTGTGTGTGTCTGTGTAGAGACGCAGCCTTCCTCCTGTAACCACTCACAACATGTTGGACGATGCCACGGACCCGATCCTCAGCAACGTGCGGCGCATCGGCCTCTTCAACGACCGTGAGGACCGAGTCAAGGTACGAGTACTCACACTACTCCAGTACTCACACTACTCCGGTACTCACACTACTCCGGTACTCACACTACTCCGGTACTCACACTATTACAGTACTCACTGTGTGTGTCTGTGTGTGTGTGTGTTTGTGTGTGTGTGCGTCTCCATGTGTGTGTGTGTGTGTGTGTGTGTGTGTGTGTGTGTGTGTGTGTGTGTATGTGTGTGCGTCTCCATGTGTGTGTGTGTGTGCGTCTCCATGTGTGTGCAGATCATCTTCCACCCTGAGTTCCTGTCTTCCACCAGTCCTCTGTTGCCGATGGATTATGATGAGTTTGTTCGTGGCTGTAACTTAGGAGTCTTCCCCTCGTACTACGAGCCCTGGGGCTACACTCCAGGTACCAGCGGCTTTAGCCCAAGTTCGAACTTCTCTAACATCTGTACACAACTCTACATTGCACTTGAAAGAGGCAAACGCAAGAACTGGTCTTGTGGCCGAGTAGCATATAAAAAGGGAAAGCAACGCCACCTAGTTAATAAAGGAAGGTTCAATAAAGGAAGGTTCTTAAAAACAAGGTGAGCAGTGTAAAAACCAGAGTTTTAAAAGGGATAAAACAATTTATTACAAATAAAATTACAGAATAAAATACTAAAAATATAAAAGCAAAGTCCAGTTAAAAGTCCAGTAAGGACAGGGGCAACTCCGCGTTCCCAAGGCAGCAGACCTAAAACCAGAGGAGCAGGAGGCAGTAAAACGTTCTTTTTAAAAATAGAAATCTGTAGGTTAAAAGTGGGATGAATCCCGGCCAGAGCACTAAAGGTCACTTACGTGCACGGGCAGAGAAACTCTGCCCGCTGCGGTGATGTCACGTCGTGCTCTGGCTCCACACGAGGGAATGGCTGGCCAGGCCCCTCCCTGAAACAAAAACGGGTCTCCCACAGTAAAACTCCTTAAAAACAGATTTCTATCGGCCAGCAGCAGCCGTATGCCCGACCAGAGCACTACAATGTTACTTACAGGCACGGGCAGAGAGACTCTGCCCGCTGCGTGTAGTCCGCGTCGCGCTCTGGCTTTCCGTGGGTCCTGTGCAGGTACTGCTGACTGCTGCTGCCGTTCTCCGTTGCCTCCTCTCCTCGGTCGCCCAAGACGCTCTGTCGTCAACCTGTGTTCTTTCTGCCCGGGACGGGGCCGCAGTCTCGCCAGCCACTTGCCGCCCACGGGTTGCCACTGGGCACACGCAGGGGAGAGCGGGCACATTCCATTCGTGATGTTGGGCCTAGCCCGGTGCACACACGCCTCTCTGCGCTTTCAATGCGCGCCCATCACCGGTGCCGCTCTCCCCGCTGGCCTCAGTCCCCCGTGGTCTCTGGCTGGCGGTGCCCCTCCTTTGGCCCAGTCCGGTGTCCTCCTGCTTCTTCCTCCCCCATAGTCTGTTTAAAAACCCTTTTCTCATTGGCTCCAGCCCCCAGTGTCTATGTCCATTTGTTAAAATCAGTGGAAGCTGCCACAGGTGTGAGGATAAAAAACAGGAAGTAAAAACACACAGTGCGGCACACAAAACACATTTCAAAATAAAAGCATGCATAAAAACAAAGTGCGCTGTGCGTCTAACCTGTGACATCCCCCCAAACTTTAAGGGTGGCAGTCCCTGTCACCTCCCACTAAGCAAGCCGACGTTGAATCAACGTAATTTGAACGTCGTTGTCCGACGTAGAATATAGGTCACTGGTGGGTGCAGAATGAAAGTTTTCTCGACGTCGTTTCCCAACGTCACTTCAACCTCCAAATGTTACGTTGATGGCACGTCAATTCAAGGTTTGAATGTGGTACAGAACCGGTCGGGTCTGACGTCCTATCAACGTCTCATATGACCAAAATATTCACGTTTATATGACGTTTGTTTTCAGTTGTTCCCACTAAGCAAGCAGATGTCAAAACTATGTCATTTCAACGTCATCTGGACGTTATCTGGACGTTCAAATGACGTCGCGGCCACTTCATTCAAGGTTGCAATGTGGTACAGAACCGGTCGGGTCCGACGTCCTATCAACGTCTTATATGACCAAAATATTGCCTTCATATGACGTTCGTTTTCCGTTGTTCCCACTAAGCAAGCAGATGTCAAAACTATGTCATTTCAACGTCATCTGGACGTTATCTGGACGTTCAAATGACGTCGCGGCCACTTCATTCAAGGTTGCAATGTGGTACAGAACCGGTCGGGTCCGACGTCCTCTCGACGTCTTATATGACCAAAATATTGACGTTTATATGACGTCCATTTACAGTCCTATTGACCTACTTAACCTCTGCAGAATCACTCACTGGTCGAGACATACTTTTTGCAATAGGCAAGGCAAGTTTATTTGTATAGCACAGTCAAAACAAAAGGAAACTCAAAGCACTGAACAAAAGATAGAAACAATCAAACAAGGCATTACAATTATAAATATTGACAGTAAATTAAAAAGATACAAATAAAATCTCTCATAAAATCTCTCAGTTGAAGCAGAAACAGAAGTGTTTTAAACCTGGATTTTAACATTGTCAAAGAAGAAGCCTGTCTCACATTTCCAGGAAGACCGTTCCAGATTTTAGCCTTGTGAATCTGAAATGCAGCTTTATCATGTTTAGTTCTGACTCTGGGCAATAAACAATAAACACAGCATTCAAAAATCATTAGAACAACTGTAGTAGAAGGATATCAGTCATTATTGCAAATGGAGCTGCATTAAAAATCATGTTTCTCTACATCAAAGTACAAGTTAAAGCACACAGGGCACAGTGTTATGAACACTACTGTACTGAACAGTTCATGCCAAAGTAAAAAAACATGATTGTAGCGCCTATGTTTGGATCAGTATTAAAACAGGCACAAGCTACACTCTAGGTTCCCCAGATGTAAAAACACAATCTGAAAGGCAGAAGAATGCATTTATTGAATGTTGAGGTTCCAACATTTGTCCTCTCTTGGTCTTCAGTCTCTCATCACAAGGTCCAAGCACAGCACCTGAAAATGTGGAACATGTTTAGTTTCAACATAATGTGGCAAAGTGATATAACAACACATAACTTTCTATTAGTTCTCTGACAGGGGGGTGTTCTGTCCCCAGTGTTATTTAACCTGTATCTAGACGAACTGTCATCTAAACTCAAAGACTGTCACACTGGCTGTGTCTCTGGAAGAACTATTATGAACCATTTTTTGTACGCAGATGATTTAGTCGTGTTTAGTCCAAGTACGGCTGGTTTACAGCAGCTCCTTAATATCTGCTCAACTTATGGTCTGGAACATGATATTAAGTACAATAGTTCGAAGAGTGTGGTTATGATTTCTAAAACCAAGGAAGATAAGAACCTGACATTTCCTAACTTTTGTTTGTGTAATGATGTTTTGCATGTTGTCACCAAAATCAAGTACCTCGGGCACATCATCACTGAGGACATGTCTGATGATGATGACATTTACAGACAATGCAGAGTGTTGTATGCCCAGGCTAATACCCTGGCACGGAAGTTTGGCTGTTGTACAGAGAGAGTGAAGCTAACGTTATTTAAAGCGTACTGTACTCCCTTATACACAGCTCATCTCTGGTCTCATTATAAGAAAGCCAGCATGCGTAAGCTCCAGGTGGCCTATAATGATGCTTTGCGTGTGCTTTTGAAAAAGCCGAGATGGTCAAGTGCCACAGAAATGTTTGTTAATGCCAGAGTGAACACTTTACAGGCCGTGCTACGAACTTTGATGTACAGCTTTATGTGTCGATTGAACACGTCTGAAAATGAAATAATAGTGTCCCTCACGAATATAAAATGGAGTGCGACACGGTATCAATCTGACTTGTGGAAACATTGGCATGGTTGTCTTTTTAAAATGCCATTTTAATTGTCTGTCTTGTGCTTTATTTTTTATTTTATTTAATTGTATTGGACTGTGAGTCCGGAATAAAGTTGAATTGAATTGAATTGTATTAATGCCTCAAACCACTCGATCCATCACCATGTGATACAAACCTTGGCACTGCACTAGCTCGAGACACTGGAAGACACTCCGTCTGAGAAACTTGGGATAAGGCTTTGGTCATTGGAGTAATTCCATGTAAAAAACAATTGCAAATGTGCATTTGTTTTGCACATGGACAAATGAGCCCTGAAAGCTACTTACCCTGTATTACTCTACACATGTTGCATTTCCGAGGGGGCATTTTCCCCTTGTTGCTCTTTTCCCTCATCTTGAGTGAGTTGCTGAACAATCTGAGAAAAAGATAGATGTTTTCAAAGAGAATACACCAAATAATGGTTTATTATAAAAACAACATAATAATACAGAAGAACAATCAATGTGTGAGAGTGTGATTCTTACCTTTGAACACCTTTAACACAGTCTGACACCTGTAAGACTCAAACACACATGACACATTAGGAATACACATAGAACATTAGTTATTGCAACAATCATGAAATTATACTCTATGGATTTCACAATAATTGACTGCATTAGCAAAGGTAAATGTATTTTAATTAACATATGGCTGGTTTTAAAGTTTATAAGAAAAAGTAAGAAATTGAATAGAGTTGCAAGCGCTAGTTAGCTTGCTACCAGCAGATGAATGGATATTTAATATTTGCAGCTAACAATAACAAAAATAACAACTGTAGTGGCTCATTTAAACAGCCACAGTGAGAAGAAGTGAAAGTCTCTGACATTGAAGACCTGGGAAGACATTAAATCAATTTATTAAACAAAGCAATACATGAACATTAAACTCTCTTTCTGCAGCAGGTAACATCTGTGTGCTCCTATGGTCCCACATGGTCCCACATGGTCCCACACCTGAACTCAACTCCAACTGATGACATCACAGGTGTCTAAATGATGGGAGTGTCCCAAATATTAAAGCTGATCTCCCTGTTTTTAAACTTAGTTTACTAAGTACTGTTGTCTTTTTGCAGTTTATAAACCATTGTGAAATATACAGTAACTTTACATTTTAGAATTGAATTATTATTTTAAAACTCAAGAATCTTAACCTTTTTTAACACATAGTTTGTTGGACAGTCTAACCTAAGCATTCTAATGTGTTAAAAATGGTTTGAAATATGAAAAACAATATCATATTTTAAACTTTAACTTAAAAACAAAAAAAGGTGTCTCCCTTTCAGCTGAGCAGTGCCAGCCGTTATTATTATAGATTCATGCACTGACAATTCAAAATAAAGATAATATACAAAATATACTTAACAAAATCCACGTATTGAGAATGAGGGGTCACGTGATAATTTGGGCGGGGTCTAATCCGGTCGGCCATGTTGATAGGATCCTCCATCGGTTGCCAGGGACAACGCCACTAACGCTAACGCTCCAGAGGTCTTTAAATTGAGCACGTTTATTAGTTCGGCAGTAGATACATCTACGATTACAACACTAGCAAGACAGTTAATGGAGAAAGTGAAGGCGAAAGGAAATGGACCGTACAGGGAAAAGCTTCTACTCACGGCAAAACAACGTTATTTGGAGAAGCTCTCAGACATACAACAGGTAGACCCATACGAGCTTCCTGCAGCGGAGTGGCAAAAAGACCTAGACTTTTTGCCTCCGTGCACGTACATGGATATAGTCAATTACCTTGTTTTCGGTGTTAGTTATTATACAATGCAGGAGTTTAGAAGTCACAAGTCACTGGAGAGTTACGAGGCTTTCTGCTGTGGTTGGGTGCAGGACATGGCCATCTACAAGCCTCCAGGCGGTGAAAACACCGTTGTACTTGCAAAGGTAAGTTTTCATAACATGCGTTTTTGTGTGCTGTAATTACATTGCATTTAGCACACATTTCTTGACCATAATGACGTGTGTCATTAGATAGTTAGATAGTTAGCTAGGCAGCTAACTTAAGATGCACTTCAGTGTTTGCAACATTAACAGCTAGGTAACCTACACTTAACTTTAAAAAAACAACATGAAGACATTTTAGGACGTACCCGAGTGAAAATGCAGAGAACACACTCTCATCGACTGGGGGTGAGATCGAAAGTAAGGTCCTTTCTTCTTATTGCAGCCAACCAAGCCATCCGGCGTCTCTTCGTCAGGTCAGACACCTGCGCTCCCTGATGTTGTATACATTTTGATGGAGTGCTCAATGCTCACTCGTATCAAACTCTTAACGAGTATCAGAGTAAAACGGGGTAAAACGGACTCACCGCTAGGGCTGAAACAACTAATCGATTAATCGACGACTAATCAATTATTGAAATAGTTGACAACTATTTTAGTAATCGATTAATCGTTTTCTGGTTCACACGGACTCAAACAGAGCAAAAATGACATGAAAATGTAGTATTTTTGATTAAAACCGACTTTGTTTTTATAATTTCATGAATATCTGTCTGTCTCATCCAATCAGATAGCAGAAGTAGCACAAAGAGCCTGTTACAAACATTTACTTTAAGTTTACGCCATCAATACGTCCTCGAGTGTTGCCACTTTAGCTTTTTGTGATGAAAAAATAAAAATTTTCTACACAATTCACAGCCAAGCGATTACTCGATTAATCATAAAAATAATCGATAGATTAATCGATTACAAAATAATCGTTGCAGCTCTACTCACCGCACAACAAGCAGAGACTGGTGCTGCGTCTATGGTCCTGTGTCTATAGTCCTGCGTCTATGGTCCTGTGTCTATAGTCCTGTGTTTATGGTCCTGTGTCTATGGTCCTGTGTCCATGTGGTCTTGTGTTTATGGTCCTGTGTTTATGGTCCTGTGTCTATGGTCCTGTGTCTATGGTCCTGTGTCTATGGTCCTGTGTCTATGGTCCTGGGTCTTTGGTCCGCGCTCGGAACATGACCACATTACGGTGTTCACTGAGCTGTTGTCAAAGCGGCCCACAGGCCGCTGGAGGCGGTAACCTCTGTCAATACAGAGTGGTCGCAGCTGCCCTGGGTCAGAACGCAGCGGCCATTGAGGTTGTGGAATCCCGTTCGAGTATATATAGCAAACAACAGCAAGTGCCCGCCCATGGCATTCCACCTATCTGAGAAGGGCTGGTCTGTGTGGTACGCAAAAGCGCTTACTGACTAAAATGATTGTAGCATTTCTGATTTTTATCACTGGTACCTGTGTACCAGTTATGTGCACCCCTGGTTATAAGACAAACACACACTTACATCAATGGAAACTACTACACTTCATGCAATAATGAATGTATTTTATTTTCGGTATATTCTTTGATTTGATATCACCTTTAACGCAATGCAAAACAATGACATGTCATGCCATTTTCTTCCCCTTTATTGTTCCATTTCTCCGTCATCAAAGACATGGCCTTGGTCTTTCAGCAGGGGCTTCAAGCAAAACTTAATTGATTAAACCAGCGGATGTTACATGTCTCTCATCCACAAAGAGAATACATATAGAGATCATGAAGACACTTCAATCAGCCAACTTCAGCCACGACAATTAGGGATTTACAATATATTGATTAATGTTGGCCTATGTTCTTTCAGAAATCTGTACAGGTCAAATTTGACTCTAACACCACCCACGTGATTATAATTAATACATTTATGTATGTTTTCTAATTTTCTAATATTGTTCTGTTATAGTCAGAAAATGTTATTATCAATAGGTTTTACATTTAGAATGTTATGACTGAAAAAACCTAATTTTACGCTTAAAAATAGGCGACATGATCCGTCTTGGGGGCCATGAAATTAAATTACAATTGGATTATATGGTTTTGAATGCATATAATGTTAGTTAAGTAAGGGATAACGTATATTACGCAGGTCATTATCGGAAAATAAGTACTGACAGGGCGATGCGCGTCGGGGTCTGCTTATTATACGGCTTTGTACCAACAGAACACACAACATAAACTTCAGTCCACTTTTAGGAATGCCGAAAGGTTTATTTAATGACAGAAAATAGTTCCCAAAGGCTTTCCCGTGGCTATGCTAGCAACAGTTAGGCTGGCAACTTCCAAACTAGAACTCCCTGGAACTGCATGAAAACTGAACAAAGAATCCTGAACATCAGCGGTGAGTGACCCATACATAAACCTAACCTAAATCCATAATTCCATCCTCTGCAAATGTTCCTAAATTGTGCCGGTAACTTAAAATGTGCCGGTATCTACTTCCGGGTTTTTTGGGATCGCCTTTTCTCGCATTACATCAGTGTTTTTGTCATGAAGACGTACAGTAAATAGAAAATTCTGAAAACTTCCGTGCACTTGTATTAAGAATGTATATGTATAATGTATTCTCCGATTAACATTTAATGGCGTTGATTGATAGGCATTTTGTTTATTGAGCGTGACTAGCTCCGGAGTGGCCGGAACTACTTCCGGGTTTTTCACGATCGCTTTTTGACGCAGATATAGTATTTTTGTCATGAAGACAAGACCAGAAAATTAAGAAATCCTGTATGTGTACTAAGAATGTATATGTAACAGTATTCTCCGATTAACATTTAAGTGTGTTGACTTATTGGTATTTGCGTTTATTGAGCGTGGCTAACACCGGAGTGGCCGGAACTATTTGCGGAGTAATCCATACATGAAATACAAGCAGAGAGTGCGTTGCCATGGGCAGCGGTCATTATTGTTTTGAGAGGTCCGTCATAGAAAATAATGACCGGTAGAACGTTTTGAAATTACATTCAAATCAATAGAACGTTACTGCTGCTGTGAGGAGCCGTGTAATAAGATGTAGTATTAACTATATGAAGTAATACATCTTTCTTTTTAGTGGTCAGGACTCAGTTAGACCACAGGTCAAAATTGACCCGCTAACAACGGGCAGTGGTGCCGATTCCTAACACAACATGAGGGTTAACTCCAAATGAAAAAATAGGCGGGTGGGACCCAAGCTAAGTTTGCCATTTTGTATGTAACACATACTGTTTATTAGAGTATTTCCAAATTGTTTGTTTATTTGCTATAAACTGGTAATAACTTAGCGTTATTTGTTTGATTAATATTTGACATAAGCCCTCACTAAATGATCAAGGCTGTGGTCTCAGCGACAAAAGTTCAAGCTGTGAAATACATGTTTTTTATTAATTCCTTTACATGGAGTCCTGTGGGAGTGTTTCCTCTTTTTAAAGTAACACGAGTGAGCCCTAACGGTGGAAACTGCTTCACGGGGAAACTAACGCTACACCTGATTGACCGAAATACCGTGTAACGCTACAGTAACACTGTCCTTCGTTGATATAAATGTTCAACATGTGATGGTTTTCCTGGACACAAACAAACACACACAGCCTAAATAAATAAACAGGAATATACAGCAATGATGATTTGCAACAAGTACATTTACCCAAAATGTTCAAAAGACTAACTCATCAAAATAATGTAGTATGAGCTTGTTATTTGCCTTGGATACATAACAACCATTCATTAGAAATCCAGGATCAACCTGTGATCAACCCGATAGACCTGCTGAAAGCTAGCGCCTGTCTTTACCTCAGTAAACTGACGCATGCACAGACCAACTGTGCAATAGTGTCAACAACTCGTCGGAACACCGGATGAGTCATGTGAATTTCTCACCATTGTATTCTCTTGCGGCAAATTTAGACGGTTGAATTTAAGAGAAAAACATTATGAAATTGATAATCGGTTACTAACATTTGTAAATAAAAATATTCAAGATGTAAAAAAAAAATCAAACAGATCAATTCAGGTCCATTTAAAATGCAATTTCTGATGAAACAAACAATCCGTCTTTTTTTTTCATTGAAAGAAAAAAAAACGTTTATTTTGAAGGTGAATATGTAATTTTAAAATTTTAATCGTATTGAAATTTGCAAACTGAATTTTTAGTGACCTAAATGCAAAGACAAAAATATTGAAACATGCTTTTTCAGGGTTAAAAATTTAAAATGAAAAAATTGATTTAAATAGTGAGCCTCTTCTACAAAATGTGATGAATGTGACCGTGAGATGCCATCCATCCATCCATCCATTTTCTTCCCCTTAATCCATTTCTGGGTCGGGGGGGTGGCAGTCAGAGCTGCACCCAGTACACTTAGCACCAGCCCCTCACTGATCCTCCTGCAGATGGTGAGTCCACAGGAGCTGAGATCTTTCAGTGGGAGCTTCAGGCAAAGTGGGGTTAAGTGTCTTGCCCAAGGACACAACGACAGCAGTCATCAGTGGGAGTCGCACCGTGAGATGCATGTGATAATATTCTACTCCAACAATACAACATTTCTCTCTCCCTGTGGACCAGACAAAGGACGGGTCAGTTTGACACAACTTACAACATTTATAGTACAATGTGTGCTGACAGATCTGTGAGGGCAAAGACATGAGCCTGGACCCGGAAGTATCACTCTCACCCACAGGAAGGCAGACGAGCCAACCAGGAAGAGCCTATTCACCCTGGGACAGAAGAGCCCGCCCACCTGTCCATCAACATGTGAGGAGGTCCCTGAGTCTGCTGCAGTCAGAGACGTCAGTGCACTGTGATTTATTGTGAACTAAAATGCTAAATTTTGAGTGAAATTTAGCATTTAGCGCCTCTGAACTTAAAATTGTCAAAATAGTCTAATACAACGGGGTAATAACATGCTAAACTGACTTTTTACAGCTTTTATAAAACTATTACACGATTTGTCGAAATCACGCCATAGTTGTATGACTCATAGTTATTATTGAGTCATATTTTAATGACTAAAAATATGCATTTGATGGATGCACGCATATTTTTGAGTCATATGAAATAAGACCATTATCAAATTATTGGAACTTCAATACATCAGTCTGGCCTCTTCTGGAAAATGTGGAAACCAAATATTTGGGAATTTAGAAATTTGACCCAATTGGCAGCTTTTCAGATGTTTTATAGGAAATATGAAAAAAAAAGTGTGTTGTTTGTCTTCTTTGCTCTGCCTCCCTCCTCCCTGTCTGTTTTTTCAGGTCATGTGTGTGACAGGGGGGCGTGGCTGACACTGCTGCATCTGTGAGGCTCACACATGGATCTATTATAATATCTGGATAGGGTATTAGTAGCCGATAGCTGTCCCACCCATGGGCACAGGGGGCGCCCACAGTACTGCAAACTAAATTCACGTGGGCCACCCAAAAAAAAGTCCCATAGAACAATGTAAACTAAAACAGCTCGACCTCAGCTGACAGAGAACCTAGAGCTTTCATAAAGGTCAGATCTTGTTGGGATTTTAGTGTCCCTTTTCATCCTGAACTATTGTTCTCGGTAAATCCTTTGGTTTTCTATAAATCTACACTTTAATACAACAAACTCTGCTTGTTTGGCTCCAGCTCTAACTCAGCTTTGCATCATGTGAGCTCCTCCAGTGCACAGAACCAGGAGGACCTGACAATTCCTAAATATGGGCGAGTTCCTTTATAGTCTTTCTGCCCCCATGGCTGTCCCATGGGCTACTGAGCACAAGCCATTGATTTGAATAGGGCGCCATCTTGGATCATAGGTTTGGCCTCACACCTGTTCCATATTCTTTCATCCCTCTGGTTTTAAGACTCTGGTTCAGACCTACATTTTCTGTCAGATTATCCCAGCTTATTTTTGTACTTTTTGCTTACAGTTGTTTGTGTCCTGTGTTAGGTCTGCCTTTTTCCAACCAGCCAGCCAACTCCCTGTCATCACTGCCTGCTTTTTATGTTTTCTTTTTTGTGTTTGTTGAGTAAATCCGTTTATGAATCAAGCTCTGTCTCTTCTTTGGGGTCTAATTCAACACCTGGTCTGGTTCACACTGGGCACATATGATTTATTATATGTAAAACAAGTGAACATAAGTAAAATACAAACAAAAAAAATCCTCCGGCTCTGAAAGTCCTGCCCTGAGCATCACCCTCTGGAGATGGGCCCCGGGCTCCTCGTGTTTTTGATGAAACATATTTGTGTACGGGGACAATGAAAGTACAGCTTAACTTCACCTCCTTATTTTGCTGCTGCCTCTCGTGCTCATACTATTCTCACAAATAAACATTAGGCTTGTTAACACTCAGGCCCTGTGTTTTTTGAGATGTGATAAACTGTTGCATTGACCAGGTACAACAGAGGGAAAGGTGAAGTCCAGACCGGCTTTTCACCAACGGGAAAACTACTTCTTGCTTTGACCCTTTAATTAACACTAAAGAAACAAACTTCTATTTTTTCAATAAAAGTTTTCTAAAGTACAGTGCAGTGACCCAGGACCAGAGGGAATCACAATATAATGGACTACGGCAAGTTTATCATAATGTGGAGAAATATAAAAACGTTCAAACACATTTCTAAAGAGGACAATTCTAAAAAGAAATCAGAAGTACTGCTAACAGCCTCACTCTCCACTTATTATTATGTTCTTTGATAACCGTCTTCACCTGACTCACATGTAATCATCCTGCAAAAAAACAGTTTGGTTTTGTTACCGTCTAAATGACCACTGATGGTTGGAGTGTTCACACTGAAAACGCCTCAGCAAAAACATTGGGTTGCAAGGTGGGTAAAATGCTGAGTAATTCTAACCCACCAGCTCAGTGTGTGGGGTTTTTGGTTGTTTTGGTTTGGTCTGACCAGATACAGACATTACTCTGTGTGTGACATGATGAGGTGTTGATTGACAGGTGGGCGGGACAGTAGCGTCCTGTGTGAATAGGGCGCTCTCCCACTTCCTGTCTGTGTGAGAGGATACTTCCTGGTTCAGGCCCATGTCTTTGACCTCACAGAACGCTCTCCAACCACACTGTGTCGCCTCTGCTCCTCTCCACAAACAGTATGAACAAGACCTTGTTTTAGAAAGTGAAAGAGAAACTTAAGGATGTACATATATGATTGATAAATGATTGAATTGAATTGAACTTGTGAGTGCGTCTGATGTATATGTAGCTATCAGCACATTTGCTCAGAATCTAAGTCCTGTGTTTTCAGTCCTCTGCTCTGTAAAGTTGTATAATTACAGTACTTTTCTCTATGCTAGTCACCATGAGAATCATCTAATGGTCCATTATGCAGCTGAATGGCTCTCTTAACCCTAACTCTTGATTCAAATACAGTACATTATCTGGCGCTAAGGTCAGCTGATAGATGGGAAACATGTTTTTCAGACGTAAGGATGTGGAAATGGAAGCCTTGAGCCTCACAGATATATCTTTGTTTACGCTTGTCTATTTACTGTCTTGTTATTTCTTCATTCAGGGAAGACGTCTTTAGAACGCAGCAGGACATTGTCCTGACAGTGTCAGTTGTTTTCCTAGTGTGTGTTGTGCACACTGGGTATTATTGTGCAAACATTCCAATGTGGTATTTTACTACAAATGGCTAAAAACTGAATCAATATAAAACGAAAAAAAAAACACTATATAGAATGTTGGTTTCCCAGAAACCAAAAATGGCGAAAATTGAATTTTACATTTCAAATTTGGGCGTCAAAGTTAAAACTCACATTTCATAAGGAAATTTAATTAAAGGATAATGATGTAGAAACTACATATAGTAACAAGTTATGAGGAGCAAATGCAGCATTTACACTAAAACTTAAAGCCGTCAAATTGATTGCTATCATTTTTTCTATCATGTGATAATTTGATAGAGAGAGAACAAAAAGCATTGTTACAGGAACCGATGCTATGTTCATAGGCCGTATAGCTTACAGCTAGTTGGCAGACCTGGGAGTTCTTGTGTTTACTCATCATTCATTGTGGCATTCATGAGGCAAGACACTTCACCTACTTTAGAATAATTCAGGTGTGTATGAATGGTTGGTGGTGGTCAAAGGGGCCGATGGCACATACTGGTTGCCTCGCCTGTCAGTGTTTCCCAGGGCAGCTGTGGCTACAGTAGTAGAGTCAATGAATGTGAAGCGTCTTTGAGTGTCCAAAAAAGTGCCATATAAAACTGATATATTATCACTCTTAATTGAAAGAATAATTGCCAAACTATAAGTCATTATCATAATGGTCATTCATTACAGCCCTATCGTACTGCCCATAAACACACAATAATGATCTTTTTCTCTTTTTTTTTTGCTTCTGGCTCAACACACCATCTCCCCCCTGCTCCTACCCCTCCCCCTCCTCCTCCTACTGGGGCCTGGCTGCTTTTGGGCTGCTCTGCTCTGCTCCTCTGCTCTTCATCCATCAGCCGCTCTGAACATGTGACCGGAGAGTGACCCGGGACGCACACATGCACACATACGTACACACGCACACACACACACACACACACACACACACACACACACACACACACACACACACACACACACACACACACACACACACACACATACACACACCTCCAGCATCTATCAAGCAGGATGGATACCTCACAGCACACACCGCCGCTATCATATCCGTTACAGATGGCTTCTCGTCCCACTCAGGCCTAAATGAATATAAATATGTGCTGTTTGACATCATTCATCTGCTGCTGTAGTGATGGTGGGCGGCCAGCGGGGGCAGTGTTGCTCTGTCAGGGAAGAGTAGCACAGAGGGGAATCCAAGGGCATCACATGGAAGTATGATGGAAAGTATATGACAAGAGCAGAAGAGACTAAACAAAACATGGGGTAACCAAACTTTCAAACTATGCAATTCAGTAAAACAGTTTGGTTCAATCTCATCTCACATCTGTCACATCAAAGAGAAGACCATCCTCACTCAGCCAATCAGCTCTGATTCCAAAGAGTCAAATAGTGACTCACAGGGTATGCAAGCGATAGGATGAAGACAGCATGTTGTGGTTTGATTTGATCATTATATTTTCTAGCTCTGTTTTTTACCAATATTCTGTTCACATCAATCAATCAAATTTTATTTATAAAGCGCTTTTCATACAAAAAATGCAACGCAAAGTGCTTTACAGTTTAGTTAAAAACAATCCAAGATGCCCACCCCTAAACCCCACAGACCCACCCATAAACCACATTTATTATATACACCCAGACACACACACACACACACATATACAAAGATAGGTAAAATAGGTAAAATAATTAAAAGATATAGGGCTGGGTGCAGATGTATCTAGCTGAAGAAGCGCCATCCAAGAAGCCATCTGCACCAGGAGCAGAGAGCCGCCTGCAGCCACAGGGAACAACATAGAACCCAGAGGAGAGAGGAGGCCCCAGACCCCCGCAGCCACAGCAGACCCCAGCTGTACATTATGTACTGTTTATCTATACAATTATCACAATAATTAAACAAAGACCTATTTTCCGTGTTCAAAATTGTCCTTGTAAATTGTATGTAAAATACAAATTGCTCTCTAGTTAAGTCAAATAAAGCTGAGTTGTATAACTTTTGTTCCCTGATTATTACATTTATTTTGTCCCATCCAGTGGGGGCGGGTCCCGGCTAAAAAGGTACATAAGCATGTGCTTGTAAAACCACTCCAGGCTGGTGGGGGTGGACCTGGAAAGAGAATTATTCAATGTTTTTGTGGCGTCCTCTTTCCTCTAAAAAATGGCATGTTCTGTGTCTGCATAGGTTTCCTCGGGTGCTCCGGT